ACACGATGCTGCCGCGAGGTTCCGCGTTGCGGTCTCGCTCGCGGATTATAGTGCGCAAACGAGAGAGAGAGAGACGAGAGATAGAGAGAGAGGAGAGCACGTGCATCGTCGTGTATATCCGTGAACCGCCACGTGTCGTGTATACGTTCTATCGTAATAATAATAATAATAACGATCGTAACGATATATAATGATAATAATATCGGGGCGACGAGAGCTTCGAAATCGATCGAGTAATATACGCGACGCGGCTGATCATTATTACCTCGTACATGCTGCAATTGTGTGCCTCTAAGTTACGCAATTCTCTCTCTCTCTCTCGCGAGTCGCAGTCGGTCGTCGCGCATTTGTGCAGAGGCACACACACACACATAATATCTATATTACACCGACTAATCGTGCGCAGACACACAAGACGCGTCGGTTAATGCGTGAGTGCATTATAAACTTAAATGTCGCGTGTGATCGCCTGTGCGCTGAAAAGTGACAGCAGCAGCAGGCAGAACGAAGCGGGGTTATCGTGCCGCGCAGCGAGTCACCGATGATGCAGTTATAATAAAGAGCTGCGCGCTGCGTCTTACGAGTATCGACACACGCGTAACGTAACGCAAAAACTGCTACCGCGGGCGGATGCGTGCGCTTATCGTTATTATTACAGCGAGACGATATTTCAGGCGCGCATATTATCGATGCTTTGATTATTGGAGCGCGCGAGGAGCAGCAGCAGCGTGTGTGCCTGACGTGGCTCTCAGCTCTGCTCTCCTCTCTCTCTCTCTCTCTCTCTCTCTCTCTCGAACTTTTAATCTCTTAATTTTTTTTTTTTTTTTTTTTGATAATAATGTGTTTGGCGAGAATATATACATCGGAAGCGAACGCGTATGTATATAAACGAGCTGCACTGCTCGCGCTCCGAAACGCCGAGAGAGCGAGAAAAGAGTATGATGTTTATGCGCCGCCGTTGCTCGCTTGCCCGTCAAGGTGCATACGCGCGCAGGCATGCGTGCATGCATGGCGATGCAGCAGCAGCAGCAGCAACAGTATATATAGTAGTAGTAGTGGACGACGGCGAAAAAGAAAAAAAAAAGAAGTGCAAAGAGTAAAGTACGTATACAGCGAGTAGGCATATACGCACACCGACGACGCGATTTTTCGTTGGTCAGCAGCTATAGCGTGTTATTATAGTATAACGTAGGTGTGTGCTCGGCGCAAAACGAGACGACGACGAAGAGTAGCAAGCACGCGAGGGGACGCGAGGGGGAACACACTCTCGTAATATATACTTTACTCCGAACTCGAACTGCTGTTGCGAAGTGCGGCGGCGACGGCGGCGGCTATCGTCGCGCCCCTAACGCCGATTGGTCGGCTCGGGCTTACTACGCAGTAGTATATATAGTATATTATATATATAGGAGGCATGTGTGTAAAACGCTATACAGTATATAGCAAGTAACGATATATACATGCGCTCGTGTGCTCGCACACGCACACACACACACACACGTACGTGTTTTATGCATGCATTTGTGCAGTCTGCGTTGTGCGAGCGTATAACCGACGACTATATAACCGAGAGAGCTCGATCGCAGCGAGCTCCGACTCTAAACTACTATATAATACGTGTATGTTCTTTTTGCATTGCAACGCACGCACACACCGATCGTTCTGAAAGAGATCACGTGTGCCCGCTGCTGCTGCTTATACTCGCGCCAACGCCAACCTCGAGCTGCAGTTATACTATATAGAGCTCTCGAACGCATATATATATACACACATGTGCGACGATAAAAGTCTGCACAAGTCGAGCGAGCTTGTGTTAGTTAGATGCCACAGAGAGGAAAGCCGAGACTCGCTCTGGGACACTTGCACACACACACACACATTTGTGCACGCGCTAGGCTCCTTCGCTGCGCACTTAAGTACAAACTAACTCCGCTTTGGTACGCGACCGGACCTCGTCGTAGTTCGTTTTCGCGCGCTTAGCTAACTCGCGCATCATAATATATATGCGAGACTGCAGCGCACTGCGTCTCGCATTCGTATATTTTTAACTCTACTTCGGTGTATACACGAATATATTGTGCTACTACGACTGCGGCGCCGCAGTCTCGGACTTTCCTCGTTGCACACAAGCTCGCACAAGCTGTAAGCTGCAAGTCGCAATGTTATATACTTGCTACCGCTGCTATTACGCGTCGAGAGCTATTATTAAGACTCGACGACGATCGCGACGTAGCTTTCGAACTGCGACGCGCATCTCTATGTAACGTCGAGTCGAGTCTCGAGTCTGAGTCGATCTTTGTCGCGCGAAAATAATGCGTCTTTCTAATAGAGACGGAACTGAAGTTGTTGATTTCGAGCTTTCCGCGATTTTCCTACATATATATACAAGCAAGACATTGAAGTCATATAGATCTTGGTATACGAAATACCGCTTGGCTGCAGTGTTTTATAGTAAAACGAGAAAACGTAGCAGCGGCGGCATCGGCGCAGCGACAACGGAACGCGGGAGCCAAGCCAAGGGGGCGAAGGAGCTCGGTATATACGTGTGTATACGTATGTGTGTGTGCGCGAGAGAGTCACGCTGCCGCTAGCAGAAAAGGGAGGAGGGACCTGTTGCTGCTGCGGCTGCGGCTGCCTCGAAGCGCACACGTATAAGCGCGCCAAATGCCACGTGCATATTATAATGCATATAGTATATATACGCCAGCGCCTGCGATCGCCTTACTATTAAAAGCTGCTGCTGCACCTCCTCGACGACGATATCCCGCCGCCACCGTAGTGGTCATAAAATTGCCCCGCAAAGGCTGGCGTATAATAACGATAATAATAATATAAAATCGTAAATAGTATGCCGAGAGACAGAGCAAGAAAGAGGTCGTTAGCCCTCCTATATAATAGTGCATAGGCACGGGCGCGAGCCCACTTCTTAGCATCTTTTTAGCAGTGTCATCGCGTGGAGCTTTTTTTTTTTTTTTATATATGCTTGTATACAGAGAGAACAGAATAGAATAGCATCATCGGTGGTACGTACAAAAAGTATATGAATGTGTATTCGCGGGAGGGACGGTACGTTCCGACGATCGATCGCTGGCCTTTCATTAACGTCGCGGAGACTCTCTTATAATCGCAACACATCGGAGCAGCGAGAGCCGTGTTGCGAAGAAAGAGGAAAAAAGGAGGCCGCGTTGCAATTGGCGCGCACTGCAGGCTTACTTGTATATATATAATATATATATTATATACTCTGCTGCTTCCTTCGCCTTATATTTTCTGCAGCACAGATCGGCAGGAATCTATAACGGAGCTCTCTTGCGAGAGTTTGTGCCATTGCCGAGTGTAGTAGTATCCTACTGTATAGCATGCAGCACGCGGCGCGGCGCACGGCACGGCCTTGTGCTGTGCCTGCCTGCCTACCAACGCCGCCGCCGCCGCCGTCGCGCGCCAAAGTCCGCGAAAAAGTCCTAGGAGAAAGGAGCAGCAGCGCCGAGGCCTGATCTTACTGCATTCCAGCGACGAAATTGCCGAGAGCTGTGTATAGCAGCAGCGGCAGCTAAAGCGTGTGCGTGTTTGTATTCGTTCGTTCGTGTACGTGTGTGAGTTGAGTTACCGGCCAGTTAGTGCAGTCTCTCTCTCTCTCGCTCTCTGTTTGGCTCACGCGGCGGCGGCGGCGGCGGCGACTCCGCTGCTCCACGCTATATACTAATATACACCAGGCCGCGCGCGATTTGGGTTTCATCGAGGCTGCGAGCGTCGAATTTCATAATATTTTGTGAGGTCGATGCGTTATGGTATCGGAATACCGCAGGCCTCGTCGTCTTTTGCCTCCTCTTCTTCTTCGTTTGCTGCTGCTGCTGCTGCTCGGATGCATCTTCGCGCCCGCCAAATTTTACATTTTATTATTTATCCCGCCGCCGCTGTGCGTTGGTCGCGCGCGTCGTCTCTCTCTCTCTCTCTGCTTCTCTCTTTCCTCGCAACGACCAACGAGGTTCTCATTCGTTGCCCAGCTGCCTTGCCTCAGCTTGTACCCGAGGCTCCAAAAAACACGCGCGTATTTTATATACGACGCTTACGTTGCGTTACGCTGTATTAGATGTCAAAAAGTGTCAACCGCGCGCGCTTTCTTTTTCGACTCGCGGTATTGCAGCGTCGTTACATTATGCTAATGTTTTGACGTTGGCCCGACAATTTCTAACTGTACATAACCGATGTAGTTCGCGTAGAGAGAGAGAGAGAAAAAGCCGTGTATGCAGTTCGAGTCGGCTCTCAAAGTGGGCCAGCAACTCTTTGCCATTACAATCGAGAGCTGCGTATAGTGGGCCTTTGACACCTGACCTCCATGTATAGCTACACGCTCGCGCCATACTGTCTATCGTTACACGAAGGATAGACAGAGCGAGAGAGAAAAAGCAGAGCAGAGATCAGAGCCTGTATATATGACGCTGCTACATATCGGACTACTACGACGTGCGCAGTTCAGCGCGGAAATTGTAATAAAGGAAATGATGCGCGTCGCGCGATCGAGTCAAACTATTGCTACTACTACGCAACGCACTGCAGAGTGCCACCGAATGACAATGCCGCACCGCTCGTGACAAGTGCTCGCCGACAATAGCAACGCGAGAGGCAGCAGTGTATATAGTAGTCGTAGTAGTAATAGTAGTGGTAGCAGTGTAATAACAACAACAAAAACAACAACAATGACACGTGCGCCACGAAAAGCACGTGTAGCAGTACACAGCGTAGCCAGTGCAGTTTTCGCGCGCTCGCCTCGCACTCGCGCACTGTATTATGTTATATATACTCTACGTACGTATACGAACTAAGCGTGGTATCGGCGGGGGAGAGAGGGACAACGTAGCGCGTATTACACTACGACGAGTATACGAGCGCGTGTTTATATTTACATGTGCCGCCGCTGCGGCGAGATAATAATATTTAAGACGAGGAGTACCAGAAAGAGACAGATGTCACGAAAGAAAAACAGAAAGTCCTCGACTTACCTTCCAGCCGGCGCTGCTGTTGCTGTCGCCCTTGTCCTTGAAGTAGGCCACGTTCTGCACCATCCACTCGTAGATCTGCGACAGGGTCAGGCGCTTGTCCGGCGCCGAGCTGATCGCCTGCGTTATGAGATCGGCGTAGCTGAGATTGCCCCAGGCGTTGCGACGCGAGCTGTTCTTCTTGATCGGTATGAGACCGGATGGACCGGCGGCGGCGGCGGAGGCGGCCGAAGCACCACCGGCGACACTGCCACCGGGGGTGAGCGGTCCCGTGGCTCCGGCTTGAGCACCGGCCTGAGCCCCGGCCTCGCCGGGCATGACGTCCTTGATCGGCGGCCCGACCTGGCCGGGCTCGATGAAACTGTCGGGCCTCGGGCAGGGCCACGTGTTCGACCTGGCCCTCTGCTGCGGCCCGAAGTCGCCGTCGCAGTCGAACGGTATGACCGAATCCATCAGTCCGGTCTCGAAATCCATGGCTTGGGCGGCAATGGTGAGGCCGCTGTTGGAGGGTGGACTGCCGCTGCTGCTGCTGCTACTGTTGTCGTGAGGTCGCGGCGGCCACCACTCCAGCTGCTGCTGTGGCGGCTGCTCCTCCTCGTGCCTTCGGCCTATCTTCGTGCCGAAATCGTACAACACTGACTCGTATATATACACACTCACTTTGCAACACTCGCGCGGCTTGTTTCGCTGCGCTTATCGCGCGGCGCAAAAATTGGAGCGTCGTCGGCGGCAGCGGCCGAGCTATATGTATGTATATATATATAAGGCACACGGACACACGGATATATGCACGATCCACCACGCGCACACACGCACGATACTACTGGTCTCGCAGTCTTCAGAGAGAGAGAGAGCAAAAAAAACGAAAGAGAGAGAAACGGACTAGCCGCTCCTCTCCTCTCCTCCGTATAGTAGCGTGCTCGAGGCGAATTCTCTTTCTCTCTCTTTTGCTCTGCAGCGGAGCACAGCGAGGCACAGCTCGTGTACGTACGTACGTATGTATGTATTTATGTGGACGCGCTTACACACACGCACCGACACACACACGCACAGTCCGAGTGCAAACACACTGCTATAACGTTAGAGCAGCGTAGTAGTAATACGTGAGTATTTGTATATAAGCATGCGAGGCTTGACACACGCAGTAGTTATATATACGGAGCACTTTTACTGGTATGCGAAACACTCACTCGCTCACGGAGAGAGAGAGAGATCTGCTTTATATACGTATATATAATTCATGCATGTGTATGTGAGTATGGCAGATCGGCGCGCCGAGCAACTCTGCGATGTAACTCAAAGTCGTCCGAATGTGTGTGTGTGTGCGTATTATATCTGCTGCTGCTGCTGCTGCTGCTGCGTTGTATTATAGCGCGACGACGACGGACTTGACTCTTTCTGTTGCTGCTGCTGCTGCTGCTGCTTGCGATAGCGCGCCAACTTTGGAATTTTCCGCTGCGCGACGTAGCTGTCTGTCTGACTCGCGGCCGCGCGCTCCGATATATTTTATAGATATATATATAAAACACACACTGACTGGCTGAACCGACTGCGCTGAGAACACGATTTCGTCTCTCGATCAGTCTCTTTGCACTCGAAGAGCCGCACACCGCACGAGCACCGACGCACTTATTTTTACATCGATTTATATTATTATTTATAAATGTAACAAAAGCTGCAGTTGCGCAGCGCGCGAAAATCGAGAAGAGACCGGGGGAGGATCGCTATCTGTACCGCTGCAGTACTGCGAGCGATTTCTTCGCTGCTGCTGCTGAGTGCAGATCCGGTGCAGTCTCTTTCTCTCTCTCTCTTTGACTGTATATGTATATATACTACAGCAGGCGGGTTCTGCACTGCTCACTGCACTCGCGCGGGGGGGAAACGCGCGGCTACGACGACACCACACGACGACGACGACGACGACGACGACGACGACGATCGACACACGATCGACACGACGACGCACATGCACTTATAATGCCCTTTCAGCGGGGTAACGTTGCGAACCAAATCCTCTATTTCACTTGCATCGTCCTATTATTCGAAAACGTTCATCAATTTTTCGCTTTTTATCATTGATACGTGCGGCTGCTGCTGCTGCTGCTGCTGCACTGCACATCACCATCACGTCCTATCGCAGCAGGCATGCATACACGCGCGTGTACGTTGCTTATTTTTATGCGTAGGTACGCGCGTGCAAGCTCTCTCCTTCCCGCACACGCGCGATTTATCGAAAAAAAAAATTAATGATAATAGAAAAAAAAACGCCTCGCGCGTAGAGCTTCTTACGATGACAGAGCTCTTTACGCACTGTGTACACAACAGCTCCGCGTAGTAAATTAAGTTCGGTCCGCGCGCGGCACACACTTGCGACGGCGACGAAGAATCGAGCAAAAATCGGAGTCTCTCTCGGCTTTGCCCCCCGCTCGGCGCGGAACGTCGTCGTTCTTTAACACCCCTCGAAAAAGCTCTCTGTGTGTGGCCGGCAAGGCAGCGCGGCGCGTACTGAATCCGCTGCGCGACCGCGTCGAGTCTCTCGCGCGGCTCTTGTAATGCCAGAGCGAGGAGCACAGCACACACGCACACACACCCGCGCGAAATCAGTATATACTAGTATATCGCTGTATATATATAGTATCGGCACGCACACACTGACTCGCGTATTACACGTATACGGAGGCATGGACGCGCGATTCGCTGCGCTACTCCGACTTTCGCGTTGTGCGAGTTAGTTAGTTAACGCGAGGCGATTTCAGAGGGCGCCTTCGGTCGGCCCGTCGCCGCCGCCGCCGCCAATCGCAACGGATCTCGCCCTCCTCTCGCGATCTCTCACCGCTCGTACTCACTCTCTATATGGGCGCACGCCGCAAGATTCGTCTCTTCTTCTTTTTTTTTCTGGAATTTCCCAAATGCGCCGAGTATTACCAAAACCGACCAATAATCATCATGATAAAATAACGCGAAACCGGCGAGCGCGCGATACAAGGATGTGTATATAATATGGAAAAAGAGAGAGAGAGAAGAGCAGAGCAAATCAGGCAGACGTCGATGATTGATTTTCGATCGATTGTTACGTGTTATTACGCACTCGATGCAGGTGTCTCGCGATCGCCCCGGATCGGCAAGTCTTTATTGCCGACTCGCTGATGGCTCGCGACGACCCAGACGACCCAGACGAACGACCTATTTATCACGCCGCGCGTTGTACTTGTAACACACTCCGGTACAGCTTTCGTTTTTCGCAAAAATTACTATTATTATCATTATCGTTATGTATGGGATGTGTGTGTCTCAATGATTGAAGAGATCGAGTCAAAATTTTTTTTTTCACTTTTTTTTGCCCTTAAAGCTAGGTTTTGTTTTTTTATTTTGTTTGTTTTTTTTTGTAAATAATATAATAATTCTGAGACTGCTGGCTTTTACAAAAATACATAACAGCGGTGTTCGTCGTTTTGTTGTTTTGTTTGTTATCAAACACTAGGTGTCTAGCGGTACTAATCTCTTAACACAATCTTTTTCTATATAATAAAATGCGTTAAATTGGAACGAAGTGCTTGAGAATTGCGTTTGCGTGTAAAAATTGTCTGTGGGTATATATTTATTTACAAAATATGCTTCTGCACAAAAACCAGTCTTTGCATTTCATTTTTGTAACATAAATATATTATTATTATATAAGTATAATAAAGGGTGATCCATCTGCTGTCACGGACTCTCTCTCCAGTAAACGATGATGACGTGATGACGATGATTTTAAGTAGCATCTCTTTCTTCTTCAATCTTCTTCTTCTTCTTCTTCTTCTTCTTCTTCTTTATTTTGTGCTTACATGGGTCTACCCATGCCGCGACCGGGCATCTGTGGTGCCTCGCCGCCGCCGCTCTTGGGGCTTTTGATCGTCTCGTCGACGGACAAAATCAGGCAGGTGGCCTCGCTGGCTGCGGTCAGAGCGTTGATCTTGACTACGGCGGGCTCCCAGACGCAGCTCTCCCAGTTGTCGGCGATGTCCTCGTTGTTGATGTCGACTCCGTACCAGCACTTGCCGGCGTGATGCTTTTGACGAAGTTTATTGAGGATGTTCGTGGCATCGAATCCAGCGTTGTCGCACAATTGTCTAGAAAATTACATTTATAAAATTAATTATTTATTCTTTTTATCAATTTTTAGTAAAGTGCTTGTGCGTTGAAATTTACCTTGGGATGACTTCCAGGGCACGAGCGATAGCTCCGATAATGAGCTGTTCCTTGCCTGCGATGGTGCGAGAGTAATCGCGGAGAGTTTTCGAAAGTTCCATTTCGATGGCACCGCCACCGGCCACGACAGCGTCGTTCTTGATCATTCGCCTGACGATCATGATAGCGTCGTGCAATGATCTCTCGGTCTCTTCCAAAAACTGCTCTGCACCTCCTCTCAGGATGAAAGTGCAGGTCTTGGCGTTGGGACAGCCGGTGAAGAAGTTGAAACGTTCACCACCGATTTGCTTCTCTTCGAAGAGCTCGCAGTGGCCCAAGACTTTCTCGCTCATATCGTTGGCCGTGGTGATGACAGCACCGCCGCAGGCCTTCATCGTTCTCTTCAGATCTTCGTCGACGACGCGACCAGCGCAGAACATGTTTCTGTCGGCGAAGTACTGAGTGGCAACATCTCCGATGGGCAATTTTGATAGAACAACGTTGGCGCCGCTCTTGTAGATTTTTTCGAGTTTGTCGTACAAAATTTGCCATTCTGCGTCGACGATTTTCTGGTACTCTTTGACGTTGTCGACTCGGACTTCGGCGTTGTCACGTTCGGCCTTCAGTTCCAACTCGATGTTCAACAAAGCAATTTTGCAAGGAGAGTATGTTTTTGGCTGCATTTCAAATCCAGCATAGGAAAACGTTTTTTTAAAGGCAACACCGGCAACTAACATAGAGTCTTCCAAAGCACCTCCAGAAATCTACATGATAAGTTGCAATTGTAGTAAAGTGTGATAATTGAACAAATTTTTGATGTCAAAAGTCCAAAGATCAATCTTACCTTTTTCATACCAATCATGGACAATGGTAAGAGTTCATCCAAAATTAAGACTGCATCAACAACCATTGTGCTGAAGAATTTCTTTTGTTGATGGATCAACTTTGAGTTTAAAGCTGTGGATGCACATTCTTCCAATGTGCTTCGTGTTTTTTGAGGATCTGATTTTTCAATTTTGATGCTCAATTCATTAATTTTTCTAATGGCTAAATCAGTAGCTTTCCTGATAGATTTAATCATTGTTCTCGCATGTACTCCTTCTTCAACAAATGGTTTGATTTGTTTCAAGAATTCTCCAGTGAGTAAAACAACACTGGTAGTTCCATCACCGATCTAAAATAATAGATTATAAGCAATTTGCAACTTTTAGTTTCAACAATTGACATTTTATATTCCCATTTACCTCAGCATCTTGAGATTTTGCGATATCAACAAGGGTCTTAGCTGCTGGATGCACGATGTCAAGAAGCTTCAAAATAGTTGCTCCGTCGTTGGAAATGGTACCTTTTCCATTTTGATCTACGATCAATTTGTCCATACCACGAGGGCCCAAAGTCGTTCTGACTGCTTCAGCGACCGATTGGCAAGCATTGATGTTGGAAATGAGTTGGGGCTTGCCTTGCGAAGAGTCTGTGCCCTCTTTGAGGAGAATGATTTGAGGTTGCTGTTTGAGAAAAAAAACATTGTTTCTATTGGACTGAACAAATGTCATAACATAATTGATCAACTCATAAATAGTAGGTTTCGAATCATGTGTGCACATGACTCTCAAACCAACGCCATTGAGTTATTTTTATAAATACAGCGTGTCATACATGTGAAAAAGGGGCCATTCATTTTTTAAGGTTAGAAAGGTGCGGCTACGATTTTAAAGCGTTAATACTTTAATGAATTGGTTTATAACAAAAGGATTAAGCCGTGACAATAACAATTGATAAGAATGTCAAGAAGAATTCGAGTCACAAAGCGCACTAGGAAAAAAAGAGCACATGATGTGGCATAGCCCTCATGGTCGCCGACAGAAAAAGTCTCTCTCTTTCGGCTCAAATCTTCTACATCTCTCACTCTGAGTAATTATTTCTACTTGGCTCACCATTTTCGCGGCGATGGGGATTAGCTGCGTTGGTTGGAGTCGAGGATGCACTGCACACAACTCGTGATCAACAAATAACAATTCGTGCTCTGCAATAGAAGAAAAACTCGCAAATTCGCAAACGAAGAGAGAACACAAGATCGCGAGCGATTCTTTGCAGTTAGGCTAGAAATATACGTCGTCTACAGTAAACGGTCGTGGTGTCGCGGGTGCGCAATTCGCTGCCGCTAGAGTCCGCCGCGCAGCGGCCGACGACATGGCTGGATCGTTCGATTTTTTTTTAACATCCATGCCCATATATAGGGTTGAAGACTCTGATTATGGAAAAAAGCATCGAGATTGGAGTTGCATTGAAACATTTTTTTTCAATGTATTTTGCAACTTCTGGCACGGCGTGGCTAAGTAAGTAAGTGGCCTAGAAGAAGACCAATTGGATTTATAAATATTTTCATAAAGCGATATCGCATTACTTAAACACAAAGCGATCGGTTACCAATATTTATACATTTATAATATTGGAAAATTTTGAATCGAAACAGTTTCACAACAATAAATGTGTGTATTAAATATAGTCTCTCGTGCTAATATGCGCTTTAAGTGCTCTATCCGCCAATTTTGAAATCGCCATATAAGCCATAAGTAGCTTTGCGCAATGATGTAAGTATATTTTTTTGGAAACGCATAGTATCTACATCGACGTGTGGGAGTAATAGTGTATGACCTATCTCGCACGCATAATATACTCATAGGTGTAGCAGCACTCGTCGGGCAGTATAGGCTCGCTTTTTGCGATCTGGATTCCAGGCTGCGACGCCACATGGGCAAAAGTTCAAAATAACGCCTCGTTCCTATGTTTATTTATATATTAAAAACGGCGGCGGCGGCGGCGCAGATTACAACTGCTATATATATATATTGTATAATAATTGTACGAAGTTTATATGTGCCGCGCGAGGCAGACATCATGAGTGAGATGCGTGGGTGGCTCTGCGTACACCGAGGCTAGATAGTTTATACTATACTTATACTTTTAGCTGCTTAACTTTGTCTTGGCGGGCTAGCCATTTAAGGAAGAGTTTCGAGGCTATACCACGGGGTTTATTATTAACACCTGACGACGAGTTCCACGATGAAAAATTTAAGTTCGAACTGTACCATTGCAAAAACATCTTTATGAAATACTTATAAGTGAGTCATTGTGTTATCGCGCGGCGAAATGGAGCATTAGGAGCTTTTTTCGAAGTACACGAGAGAGAGAGAGAGAGCAAAAAGAAAACAAAAACAACGACTAATCATAATATATAACCGAGCGCTGCTTATGTTACTAACTTTTTCTCCTCACGGTCATCGGCAATTTACCAGAAATACATTTTTTTTTTCTTTTGAAAAGCTGCGAAAGAGATAAAAGAGTTCGGCGCGCCAGACGTATTACACGATCGTCGTCGCGATCGTTTTCGGGCAATATAATTGCATATTTAAAAAAAAGTCAATTAGCGCGCACACTCGACTGCGGCGTAATAGCCTCGCGAATCATAAATTTAATCGAACGCGCGCGCGTCTGATATTAAAATCACATAAAAAAAAAAAAAAAAAGAATACGAGATACAATGTTTTCTCGATGTCTGCGGTATGCGGCGGTTCGCGCCGAAAACCGTTCACCTTATACACTATATGCCGATACCATAACACGATTTCGCGCTGCGTGTGAATTCATCCATTACACACTCCGTGAGTGTTGTCTGGGGGCCTAATTACTCCGTGACATTAATCTCGTTACGAAAAAAAAAAAAACGCAAGTAAGTAACCGTTCGAATTTTCGAGGAGAGAGAACGAGAGAGAGAGAAGAAACAACCGCGTCGATATCGATTAATAATATGAAAAATCTATATTAGGCCTCGCGCGACGCGTTCCATTGTGTCTGGCTACCCCCACCAGCTACGGGTATGCGTACACACACCCGCGAGAGCACGTGAGAGACGGACGGAGCTCGAGCTAGCCCCCTGAAAGTTAAATTACACACACCGTAAACCCGCCTTATTATTAGGTACAGGTGTTGAATGTATCGGCAACGTCGTCTACGGCCTCTGCGTGACAGGGCACTTTTTGCATCTTTTTATCTATCTTTTTTTCTTTTCTGGTCTCGTGAACCCTTTCGAAAGACTCGGTGACAGATTATACACGAATACAATATGAACAATCGTTTGTTGACAATAACTGATAAGACTCGCTCTACGTGCATTTCTATATAAGCAGACACAACAGTCACATCTTCCATATATCGCGGGGTTTTTACACACCGGCTCATTGTGTACGTCTAATGTATGAAAATTTCCATATATCGACGAGGAATCGCATTGATAACCTTGTAAGAGTGTATCCTTATATATCTAGCGATTGATGATAAATTTACTTGCCGACTTTGAAAGAGAGAGACAGACAGAAGTAAACGAGTGAAAGAGAATTTCGGCAATTTCACTCGCAGCAGACACAATAGTCTGGGTCATTTCGATTTAATACAATGATCGACGAGCATTGGTTCCAAAGAAAAAAAAAGAACCGCAGCACCAATACATAACGAGATTAACGTCACGCTTTTAAATAACGACGATCGAGAGACTCGCCCCATTAACGCGTGTATAGCAGTAGGTACATCCATTTATCACCAGGCAAAGAGGGACCTTATAATAATATTCTGCGTAATCGATGCGCGTATTTTATACAGAAAAAAATTGTTTCAATAAAGCCAATACTTCAAGTCTGCGAATAATTGAGAAACATAGGCCGCCGTCGCGCGCGCGCGCGGAAATTGCTCCATTCAAACGAGACACGTTCATTCATATAGTAATTCGAACATCGCGGAGCGAAGTACGACACGTAACGCCATCTGTGGAATCGACTCGACGCTACTAGCTAGCCTCGTCTCTTGCTCCGAATTCGAGCGAGTATCGTGCTCGACTTTCGGAGCGTCGTTATGTATCATGAAATACGTATATAGCGGTACACGGCGCGGTTGGCTATACTTTTATATTGCGCCGTGTCTCGCGAATCTGCGATCTCTCAACGTTTGCGCTCGCAGAAGCAGCAGTTTGCTATAATCACGAAGCTTGGCGCATTCGCCGAAGGTAGCAGCACCTCGCGTATTATACGCATACATAAGTAATCCGCCTCCATTTTCTAAGCTTTCGCTCGCTTCGTATATAATACTCGCGGGGCCTGTGTGTGTGCGTGTGCCCGCGATAATGTGACACATCCATCGCGTATGTGTGCAGATATGTTTGTGTTTTTGTATATGTGTGCTGCTGCTGCTGCGTGAGCGTAATGTGTAACAGTAGAATCGCTGCTGCTGCTCAGCCAGCCTCAGGCACGCTTATACTCGCGACGACGCGATATTTATCAGTCGTGTGTTGGCATTAGCATCCCGACGAACGAACGATATTTCGTGGTAACGTTCGCTGCTGCTGCGCGTCTGTTATTCAGCCGCGAGAGGCTCCGAAGTGTGCGAACGAGAGGTGCAGTTCATTAAGATATTGTCGAGTGACGCTCTCGATTCATCATCGACGCGTAATTTCTCGCGCGTGTGTCATTCCTCGTTTTTTTGCTGCTGCTGCATCGTTTGCTCCTTTTTGTGTTGCTGTCTCGATGTGCGCGCATCCATCCGTCCGTTTGACGTAGTTTGCTCTCTCGAGAGGACGTGAATTGATTATCAGCTGTGTGCGGTGACAGGCAGAGGCATAAGCGTTGTGAAAAAAAGGACATTGGGGCAATTTCCTTCCCGTTGAAACCTTTTGCAACGATTTATTTATGATATATACATTTTATAGCAGAAATCGTGTGGCTATCGTTGTATAATGTATAAAAAGTGCTTCGCTTGTTGGAAGCTCATAAAGTAGAGCCTATATATCGATCCCTCTCTCTCTCTCTCTCTCTCTCTCTTGCTCTCTTATATACTGCGGGTAGGTAGGTAGTCCTATACCTATACACCTGTGTGTTATACCAATCGACTATCGTTCGACGTTTACTAAGGTTGCGTTAGCTTATAATATATACTATATATAGTCTGTGCGTGAGTTTCTGTCTGAGTGTGCATGATACATTCTCTCTCTCTAACCCACCTTCTCTGGTGAAGTACTACAATTGCTGCTCTGCGTGCTTGACTGTCAGCATTACTACTACTACTACTACACACGCATATATAAATAAAATATATACATATTGCTGCTGCGAGGAGCAACTAATACAACGACGTTCGGCAGCTACTCCATAAAGCATACTTTTATAACGTAGGTGAGTTTGAGATCTGTTTACACCTTTCCCTGTATATATGTATGCCATCGTCCATCCTCTCACATACCTTAACACATCTTCGGGCTTTAGTATTTATTATATATTTATCTATGTATTGGAATACATCTCGCGTGTGTCTCATGCGCGACCTGCTGTGCCTCTCTCTTTTTTTCTCTTTTGCGGCCATCGTTTCGAAAGTGACTCATACAAACACCGCACATGCCTTACGAGACATCGGTATACATTACTATGACTCTCGGGCCTACTAAGCCCCTGCTGTCATAATTATTTTCCCGATCTTGCGGCCCTGCGCTAATAGATTCTAATCCTTCTTATCTCGCTTAAAGACTCTCGCTCTAATGACATCATTATTTCCTACTAATGCATCTTAAATTCTAAAATTAACTTCGAGTACTTTTTCCGGAGACAAGTTGGTCTCATCCTGTTTTTATTTTCTCAGAGTTATGCGTGGATTTATCTTGACGTGAGCCGCCTGCCTGCAGTTAAGTGCCACCACCGCTCTCGCTCACTCTGCATCGACACATATATATAGCTGCATCTCGACAACCCCGAGGGGATTGTGCAAGAAGAAGAGGAAGAATATTGTATATTTTTATCGTCGACTTTTACAAAACAAGCAATAATACAACATGATGGAGGTTGACTCGTCGACGCCTCAATTCAACAACAAGGATGACGAGGTCCAATACTGGATGGATCTTGCGCATCAGCTGCAACAAAGGTATTTTTATCATCATTTCGGTACACGCATTATCTTCGTATTTCTGAAGTTACTTGACGATCGGTTCTCATAATTTTCTATGCAGGAAAGACGATGTGGAGCGAGAACTCGAGGAATTTCAAGAAAACTCACAACTCCTAGAGAAAGAATTGGAGGCATCGCTCGAGCAGGCCGAAAAAACGAATCTAGAACTGCGCCAAAGAAATAATCGATACGTCTCAGAGATCGAGCAATTAAGGAGCCGCCTGGACCAACACACTATCGATTGCTCTGTATTTCAGACCAGGGCTCAAGAATTAGAAGTACAAAATAATCAATTACTCAAATACGTCAGAGAGCTAGAACAAAAAAATGACGATTTAGAAAGAGCCCATAGGTTAGTTTTAAATGCAGCAAAGTATTTTCGATAATTTTAACAAGTTTTTAACTGAATCTTTTTTTTGCAACAGGGTAAGCAAAGTCACAGAAGAAGAAATGGAGGCTAAATTTAATTCTGCTATTGAAAAGACTGCACTTTTAGAGTCAGAACTAGATGAAAAAGAAACACTCAGAGCTACCATTCAACGATTAAAAGATGAAATCAGAGGTAAACTAATAATTATTCTTTGTTTCATAGACCACAAGCAATTATTTAAACATTTTGTTCTTTTAATAGATTTAAAGCAAGAGTTAAGTATTCAAGTTCGGCATCAAGCTGATAATGACAAATCTGCTGCTGTTGAAAAGTCGCGGAATTATATAGATAGTAATAAGTTGTTAGTTGAACTGGAAACTCAAACTCCACCGGCCAGCCCAATGAATGTTTCTACAAATCTACCAACAACAAATGTAACCTCATCTCCAATGAAAAGTAAGATGCGTAATGCCTTCCGTAAAACAAAGTATTTTTTCGTGCCATGTACAAATATGAAAATGAAAAAGCAGCAGACCAAAAAGTCTAAACCAAAAGCTCTAATATCTGATCAATCAAGTTTTTATGCTTCTGTGCCTCCAATTCTTAACAAACCAAAGTTACTTTTTTTGTAGTAATAATGAATACTCTATGTACAAATCTCGAATTCTTCCAGTTCTTTTTAAAATATTAGAATAATTTTCTAATATTTCGAAATTTCAAAAGAACTAAATTAACTCCTAAAAATACATACTAATGTAAAAGATATATTTTTTCATTTGCATATAATAAAAATAATAATTAAGGTATACTTTCTTTTTTTTATCTTTTTTTTTGCTTGTTTTGTTGTGTTGTATTAATACCTTAAATTTTACTTTTTTGTAATTATTCTTATTAATTGTGATAGTTGGAAATGGCATGGGAGGTGTGAATGGTAACAATATCAACAATAATATCAATCAACCTCCTTTGGCGCCATGTACAAGAATACTGGCTATGAACATGATTGGTGACCTCATGAGAAAAGTTGGGGTGAGTGAATTTATAAATATTTCAATATTTAAAATCATTTTTTTTCAAATGCATGCAATCGTTCAAGTTCAATACACATCCCATATGACTCAATTTCTGTTCTGATATTTCCACAAAAAAATTATTTCATTTTAAATAGTATAAAAGCAATTTTTCATAAGGTACAATAACAGTTCACCTAGTTTACTAATGTATTCAAAAAACACTATTGTGAAACATGTACTGTAGCCTAGTTTATTGATAGATTGACAGATGGGTCTGCATGGAATGTCACAAGGTGAAATGTACTTGTCCAGGGGGAAAAAGTAGACAGTCCAATACACAAAATCTGACTACAACTCATTGTCAGACCAACAGTTCTTGATGTTCTTGAAACGATTGTATTCAAATTATTTCTCACAATGCAGGTTTTAATTTTGTTTTTCATCAGTTTTTTGATTACTCAACAATTTTTTATCCTACTCATTGTTATTATTAATACATTATGTACCATTAATTTATGGTTATCCCACATTTCTACACTATTATCTTATCATTTTCTATGTTGGTGAAGGTTACTATTACCATTAATTTCTACTTACAAGGAGAGCTTTTCAGGTGCGGGTCATGGATTTGCTCCAAAATTTTTTTGCAGTCTCCTGGTACCCAAAACTGAAGCTCTCTGTGCTTAGTTTGATCCAATGGGCCTTAAGGCCCATTTTGTAGAGGATTTTCCACATTATAAAAAAATCTTTGTTATTTTCTATATCGAAATAGAAGTACTCAAACGAAAAAATGGGACGATCAAAAGTCTTAAAATTTTTCAAAGAATCTGCTTGAATTTTTTCAGGATTTTTGGGGCCATCTATCACTTAATTCAAGAGGCCCAAATTTGACGCTTTTTTTAGTAGATTTTAGGACTTCGTAAAGAGAGTGGTAGATGGTCCCAAAAATTCTGAAAAAATTCAAGCAGATTCTTTGAAAAATTTTAAGACTTTTGATCGTCCCATTTTTTCGTTTAAGTACTTCTATTTCGATATAGAAAATAACAACGATTTTTTTATAATGTGGAAAATCCTCTACAAAATGGTCCCTAAGGCCCATTGGATTAAAGTAAGCACAGGGAGCTTCAGTATTGGGTACCAGGAGCCCGCAAAAAAATTTTGGAGCAAATCCATGACCCGCACCTGAAAAGCTCTCCTTGTTAGTTTATTCAATTTGAATAGAGTCTAAACTTACCTAGCTTATTACAAGTAATTTTTATAATTCTAATGTAAATTTCTTTTTTTTAACAGGCATTGGAAAATAGGCTGAGCACTTGTAGAAATAACTCTTCAAGAGAAGATCCGACTGTGCGTGACCTCTACAGGTAACACCAACGTTATTGAAACCAAGTGTTGTGTTAGCTTTCAGTTTTAGTTTAATCATTAGTATTATGGTTTTTTTGGAAAAAGAAACCATGTACCTAAATATTTACGTGGTCATGTATGTAACAAAATGATGTGATTTATAAATTTTACATTTATAAGTTTTTCATTGAGATTACTTACAGATCTTTGTGGTACATGGTTTAACATTGAATACTTATTCATGCATCTGACTATTAATTTCCTACGATTAATTTTATTTCAATTCCATTTGTAGCACTAATAGTTGTAGTTGTACAGAATATTGACTTTAAAGCGCATTTTATAGTAAGCATTTCTATGAAAATGAAAACAAAGCAATAAATCCGCAGTATAATATTATTAATTTAATTTTTAACTCAATGTACAATTGAAAAATATATGTACCTGAGTTTCAAATTAGTTATAGATCTGACTAGAAAAATTTTATTTAATTAATATCTCAATTGAAAAATAGTCTAAATGAACAATGTAAAAGCAATAACTACTTTAATGTACAAAATATAAAAAATTCATCATTCTTAGCTGGCTTCTAAAATAATGATGAAATAAATACAAAAATAGTAATATGATTTCATGTAATTTTTTCAAGAGAGGCTGCACCTTTATGTTTTGCATGACATGCTTTCGTTTTGTTCTTGAAAACTATTCATGTATCTGTCCATGTCAAAAATTGGTGTTATGAATTGTGGTATTCTATAAATTGATATTCCATGTCTGTTTTGCATTAGGAATAGAAGGCAACCACGAACCACCACGGCAGTAGGGAACAACAACCATATAAGATATTAAGCGCGTTAAAATCCGAAATCTCATCATCCTCATAGGAAATAAATTATGATTTGTTCATGTTCACTCGCGCCAAAAGAAAAATTTCTCTAATTGTATATTGTTACTGTAAAAATATGATTTTTTTAAAAATCTTAATAGATGTTTGTTGTAGGCAATCAAAAGATTTGCATTGTAACTTTTGTTAAAATTTTCGGAAAACTGGCATTTCCACTTAACGACAACGCCTGTGTTTTAGTTGTAAAATTCCAAATAATTTGGTAATACATAATATGTATCAGCTAAAACCACAAAAAATATTTTGTAAAATGCGTTGGGAAATTTTATTAATTTTTCAATTATGTTCGCAATGCTTAATCGAATGGTTATATGATAAATTAGACAGAGTGCAAATGATTTCTTTACCTCGTTTCGTACGATCACGTTGTAGAATCGACTAAGAATGCAGTTTATTAGTATAACTTTCTGTAAGACTATTTTATAAAAACGTAAAAATAGTTTTTAGTTCTCTTGATAATTGATAATGGAGCAGCCAAAAATTATAGTTAAAAGAATAAACTTGTAAACATGAATTATTTCTGATAACTAGCAATTGTATATAGATAGAAACTATAACTCGATAAAGAAGTGAAATGTATTGAAAACTGTAAATTACAAGCAAATCGGAATCACATCACTTTGTTAATGGAAGAAAATTATTTTCATGTAGAAATATATTTAAATACGCATTGGCTAATAAACATTTTTGTCTCTTTCTAAATTGAAAGAAACAATTAATTGCATCTTAAATCTGAATCATTTCATCAATATCCTTGAACTGATAAATGTTGATTGTTTGGGTTAAAATAAAAATATGTATTTTTTAGCATTACCTTTTATTTATTTATGAAACGCATATCTTACACAAAGAACATTGATTCATATAGTCCAGGTTCAGTGCTGTAATTTTTATACAGTCATTTTTTTCATGTCAAATTACACTATAAAAAGAGATCTTATGTTCTATAAGCACGTGTTTAATGAGTGCTTTTTATATATATTAACATGTATAAGCCACCATCGTTACACATACATTTAAATAAACATCTTGGTTAAATACAAATAATAAATTTTAACAAATGATTTTTTATGGAATTAAAATTCCAAGCATTATGGATAAATTTATTTTGAGTAAAATAAAATAAACAAATTGCAAAAACAACAATAAGTTTTGATGATACGAGAAAGAATACAAACACATGGAAGATATATACTAAAGAGAAAATTCAACGAAGATGATGGTACAGTTTGAAGCTAGGTCTTTTTCTTTGTTTAAGATGCTAAAGGTTAGGGGGCTTACATGATAATCTACACAACACAGTAGGTGGACTTAAATGAATGTGCATTCTCATCCACTATATATAATAATTTTAAGATCAAACTATGATTAATCATTATATAATATTTAAATATAATTAGGTTTATATTGAGATGCATAATTTAAGCACGCTCGCCACGAATTCGTCGGGCCAGCTGAATGTCTTTCGGCATGATGGTCACTCGCTTGGCGTGGATGGCGCACAAGTTGGTGTCTTCAAAGAGACCGACCAAGTAGGCCTCGGACGCCTCCTGGAGGGCGCCGATGGCCGCGCTCTGGAAACGCAGATCCGTCTTGAAGTCCTGGGCGATTTCACGCACCAGACGCTGGAAGGGCAGCTTCCTGATGAGGAGCTCAGTGGATTTCTGGTAACGACGGATCTCACGAAGAGCGACGGTACCGGGCCTGTTGATCGGAAACAAAGCAGAGAGTTAGCACAACGTGGCACAACCAAGAAAATATGTATAATTTTTTTAAATCACGTGGTTAAGACGCTTACCTGTAACGATGGGGTTTCTTTACTCCTCCGGTGGAAGGCGCCGATTTACGGGCTGCCTTGGTGGCCAACTGCTTCCTGGGAGCTTTTCCTCCGGTGGATTTACGGGCTGTCTGCTTGGTACGGGCCATTGTTCAAGATTGAAATCTGTCGTAGAAGATTTGAGAGTTAGTGAATGATATTTTCTGGAGCTCAAGTACGTCTGTACTGTAGCGAAGTCCGAAAGGCGATTGACAGAATAGCCGCTACACACGAGGTAGGTTAAAAAACTGACGCACGCTTGCTTGCTTGCCGCGAGATGTTCGAGAGGGGGGGGGACAACGCGCGAGAGAAGGGGGACTATATGCAGTACGAGTACGAGCGAGACAGACAGAGTGCAGAGCAGAGCGGAGAACAGCCTCCCCCTTGACTCAGCCGAGCGCATGCGTCGCGTATTATAAACAAAGGGAGGGGGCAGCGGACGGAGGAGAAAGCCTCTAATAACAGACGGCCAACAGACTCGCGGGAGCAGACATGCGCGGAATCGGGCCGAAATTCGTTGACTGCGGCGCACTACCTGCTGCTGCTGCACAATACAATATGTGCTGCTGCTGCTGTGTATACGAACGAGAAGTAGAGGAGGATGATTGACTCTATATAACGAGGGAAATCGTCCTAGGCTGGCTCGCGCGAGCGCTTACGGATTAGAGTCCGCGGAACCGATATGCGCTCGCTCGGCGCGAGGTGGTGCATCTCGGCTCGCTGACACGTCTTCGACCAGGATGTGTCTCGACGAGGGTGTCGCGTTATTGACATCGGCGAGTTGAACCACGAGGAGCTTTTGTTATAAAATAATTTCGCGACACGTGCGAGAGCGGAGGCTCTCTCTCTCTCTCTCTCTTTCAAATTCAACAAACGGTAGATACGTATTTCGTGGCACACAGCACACGAAACGGCGCAAACAAAATGGAAGCCGACCAGTGCGAGAGCTGTGACTACGAAACGCGCCGCGACGTTTCGCCTCGTCGACGTCGTCCACGAGGCCCGGGATCGTCCTTGATAGCACGAGGGGGTGGTCGGTAACTCGATCTCGACGATGATGTATAATGTGGACACTGGTGCTCGACTTACCTTTACCTGTGGATGATGCGTTGACGGAGAGCCACGAGTTGGGACGGTAGACGCGTCGTTTCCTTCACTTGGTTGGCAGTGGACTGACGACACGTATGTTCGTGTGTGTACGTGTGAGGCGCTCCGAGAGTCTCTCTCTCTCTCTTCTCTCTCTCTCTCTCTCTCTCTCTCGCTCTTTCGTCGCGGTAGCAGCAGACCTATATAGTTATGTACACACAATAGTAATCTCTACTGTATATGTACTCGTACTCGAGGGCTGCTGTTGCCGATGCTCGTCGTCGTGTGCGTGCTCGCGAGTGTTGAGGTCTTCGTCGGCCGCCCGACCCCCACTCCCCCCGGCCGCTTCGCTTCGTTTCGCGCGCGCGGATATACCTGACGACGACGTGCATTACCTCGTACACATATAGATATATTATCTAAGGGTAAAAGGGATATTGCGCCGCAAAATTGCAGCGAGAGAGGAGAGCGTTTTCGAACTTGGCTCCTTCGTTTCGTGCGTATGTACAGTAGCGTGATGGGCTGTGGCTGGCGCGAAAAGCTCGCGGGCCGTATAGGCGCAAAGCTGCTTTCGCCAGTAAAAATTGGAAAATTGTCGTTGAATAAATTGTACCGAGTACGCAGTTACGAATGACGATATTGATCGATATAGCATAGACATTATCATTGTTATTATTATTTTTCTTGAGATTTTCTCGAATTTTCCTTCGAGTCGTCATCTCGTCCGCGCGTAATAAAACAAGTACGTTTACTTTTGTAACATATGGTCGGTGTAACTACGACGTTACATTATTCATTACATTAATACGCAGGCAGAAAAGGCTCGCTCGCTTTGATCGAGCATACATGTAATTGTAGCACGTCCATGCGTCATCGTGACTTTTTGTTAGGTTGTCTCTTGTAATAATAATAATAATAATAATAATAATAATATACAACTGCAGCTATACATACACGCCACGCCTGATGACGACCGTTCGCAATTATGTTTATTATTGCATGCATATAATATAAGAGATCTCGAACATGATCGGAAAAGGCTGCCGCCGACTTTTTTGGCGCGGGTGGCGGAGCGGGGAGGAGGAATAGCTCGCGGGAGTTAAGACATACGCGCAGGCGCTGCTGCAGCTATAGCTTTAATGCACCGCCGCGCCGCCGAAGCTGGTCACTGGTGGCGGCGGTGGTGGTGGTGGGAGGTGTGCACCACTGCAGGGACACATCGTGTGCGCCCGCATGGAGCAGCTCTAAACAGCAGCACCAAGTGGCTTGCATATAGCGCACTGTGCTCGGCGGTACTACGCGTCTGGTGTTGTACGCTCTAGGCTCTTTCTCTCTGTGCAGAGTTGCATCTAACTCGAAAAGCCATTACTCGCGACATAAAGTGAGAGAGAGAGAGAGAGAGAGAGAATATTTTTGGGATAAGCGTCGCAGTAGGGCGTCGTCTCTCTCCCTGCGAAAATTCACGGGGTCTTTTTCCACGTATTTACTTATACGTGTAACAAGGAACAATGGAGGCGATGTCGGGCCACTTGCAATAATATACGTGTATATCTCTCGTGCAACTTTTCGATCGCTCGCTCGAGTTGGGCTCTATACTTGCAGCAACACGCGAAAAAGAGAGAGAGAGAGAGAGAGAGAGAGAGAGAGAGAGAGAGAGAGAGAGAGAGAAAGAAACATCGATCGGACCGCCGCGGCGGAGAGCCTCGCATGGCTCTCCTTTCCAATTTTCAATGCCCGAGTTTAATGTTATAAAGTTGGGTTCATAGCTATCTCTCTCTCTTACTCTCTCCCCCCGTGACTGCGACTCTCTTTCTTTCTCGCTCTCTTTTACGTTGTACGCGAGCTCCGCTGTATGGGCAATTGCAACCCGTCTTGCTGTTATACCGCGCACGGCCCGCGTATCTATCTATCTCTTGTGGTGGCCTATACAAGCACACAGCACATTTATGTATACATACACTCTGGGTCTCTCTCTCTCTCTCTGGATTGACGCCATATTTGTTTCCGCTTGGCTCACTTTTCTTACCTATCTGTCTCTTTCTCTCGGTACGCAAGTACGTGCACGTCCGAGGAGTGCATTACTCATTATTTATGATGGCTTCCAATCTGCGAACCATATGACAATCTTAAGATGCCATATGGATTTTCTATATGCTGTGATGAAAAATCATCGATACGTTATTGTCCAGTCGATGCGTTTCCGAGAACTTAAAAGGGAAACAATAGGAGCGCACGACTTGGCGCTGGGTAATGAGAGCAGCGCGCAACACCTGGTTTTCTCCGAAGTCGAGACAGTTGAGATTAGAACCGTGTTTTCTCTTTTGGATAAATTTACAAACGTTACTTTTCTCGCGTGCATCGTAAAATCATCAAGAACCCTTTATTTTTGATACTTGAAATTTGATCGTGCATCAAAACAATTCGATAAAAATTTACTTCAATAATCATAATAATACTGGACGATTATACATTTTGAAACAAATGAGTTCGAATTTATTTTTAAAAATCTTCCGAGTAGTATTACAGCTTTCGGCTGAACGAATAAAAAACGATTTCTTATCGTATCTCTTACGAAACTTTTACATTTGTCCTTTCCTTTGTCTCGTGTGCTCGTAAGTATGGGTGATCGCGCGCGCACACACACACACACACACACACACACACACAAACAACGACTCGGCGCAGCGACCGTAGAGTGTAATTCCCAATAAAAATTGATTACTTTTATGGACAGTCTCTTGCGCGGAGAGTTTTGATCGTAAAAATATGTGCGTCGTCGAGGATCGGGCAATGACTATATGATAATTTCATTGAGAGCTTTTCTCGATGCGTGCCAACTCACAAGCGAGGTGTCGAGTTGCCTTTTTTTTTTTTGGACGATGCACTACATAAAACGTGTGCGGCACACGGAGTGCTTCTCAATTTTCATTTTTATGTACTCGTTATACGACACCTATACAGGTCAAAGATTCTACGCTACTTATATACACTTTTTTTCTGACACTGTATACCTACAGAAATTCATCAGGCAATTAAAAATCGATTCTCTGTAATTTCAAAGCTAACGTCCATATTCTTTGTGTACTCCAAGATCTTTTACACGTTGTCATCCATTTTCGTAAATCCAACGTAAAATTCAACTCTAATGCTTCGTAGCTACGTGCCGAGATGTTATATTCGCGCTGATAAGAACATCGAGTGAGTTTTTCGAATAACGAGTTACGACTAAACTCAAAGGATTTGCTCGAATCTAAACAATTGGTGCGCATAACGTTTTACGATTATCTAACGTTGTGCAATTAGATAAAATTTGTACAGGCTGGGATTTGTACGATGCCTGTACGGACTTGCAGGCAGGCGGCGGCGGTTCGAGACCGCCCCATATTGATGACGCGTTATGATGCGCCGACACGGACGACAGATAAATGTTCAATGGCCGTTAATTGATGGGTAGTTCATCACTTTTAACTTCAATATTATAAATTTTGAATGTTTTTTCATCGTTATGATTGATATTTATCTATGATTTTAATCACTTTACTATACTCAGTGTAACAAAATTTAGGTACCGTTTTCTGATTTAACATCAAAAATAGAAGTCGTAATAACGACATTTTGAAGTTTAAAAATCAATTAATAAATATTTTTTGAGATTTTGAGTTTTAGGATATCAAGATAAAAGTCACAGGGTTAGGTTTTATATCATTTGTATATATTTTTCAATATTATACTACATACAATGCAGTTGTTTTCAAAAGGTCTTGAGATCTTAGTCACAAATTCATTATATTTTGTTTGTCTGAAATGATCTTATTGCTAAATGTTCCAGATTGTCAGACATTTAGTTTTTTAATAATGTACAGGTTACAAGTTAATTAAGTTTAAAAATGTCGTGTTCAACACACCTAAAATGAACAAGTCTCGTTTGATATCTCTATTAAACTCATGATAATTACTAAGACCATTTTGCATTGCTTGAGGGATCTTTTTCACAGTTATACAGGTTACATGTTTTTACTACGGAAGTTAACATTTTCTTTCTTTTCTTTCTTTTATACCAGATCAGACATTGAAACTAGAACTGCGAACAATATGTATATCTAATCTTCAAACTAAAATAATAGTTTTCATTTTTTTAATTATAAGTTAACTAGTATAGTATCACTAAAATCTAAAATTCATTGAATTTCAAAGACTTCACATTTATCCCATAAAATTGTTCTGAAACATTGAAGCTACAAAAAGATTATTCAGTATTACAAAATTTTCATCACGATGCAAGATTAGTAGTTCCCAGCGCTTAGAGATTTATTTATATTTATTAGAGAAAAGAGACAGGGCCAATTCGTTCAAGACTATTAATCCGAATTTTATCAGCTCCAGAAACTTTGCAAGTCAATGCATTAATAATCTTGCATTGTAATTTTATTCAATATTATTACTTGTTGAATACTCTTAATCTAGCCTTTCAATAGCTAATTGGAATAATCAACTACAGTGCGTCTCTTATGTTAGCAACAATACATTTACGAAATATATTCTAGAAAAGTACAAGAAACGTAAATACGTCAATTTTCCCGTGTAAAATTTAATTATGAGCTGAATCAAAGACATTCTTTGCAACTTTTAATAATCGTTAATAGTGTATTTTCTATTAATTTTGTTTTATAAAAGAGTTTCGATTTAAAAAAATAAATTTAATTAAATGGAACAGAATACAGATTATTATGGAATAATCGATAAATTTCTAAACAAAAAGTGCATTATTCACCCAATAGTTGGCAGTGATAATTGTAATTAAACGTTCGAACACGAACCAAACTAAAATGCTGCTAACTACTTGCCTTAATACCATTTGTTTGAATATTATAAATGAGACAAAATAGAAAGCATTATGATGGATAAAATTAATAATTTAAGCACGTTCTCCACGGATTCGTCGAGCGAGCTGGATGTCTTTCGGCATGATGGTTACTCGCTTGGCGTGGATGGCGCACAAGTTGGTGTCTTCAAAGAGACCGACCAAGTAGGCCTCGGACGCCTCCTGGAGGGCGCCGATGGCCGCGCTCTGGAAACGCAGATCCGTCTTGAAGTCCTGGGCGATTTCACGCACCAGACGCTGGAAGGGCAGCTTCCTGATGAGGAGCTCAGTGGATTTCTGGTAACGACGGATCTCACGAAGAGCGACGGTACCGGGCCTGTTGATCGGAAACAAAGCAGAGAGTTAGCACAACGTGGCACAACCAAGAAAATATGTATAATTTTTTTAAATCACGTGGTTAAGACGCTTACCTGTAACGATGGGGTTTCTTTACTCCTCCGGTGGAAGGCGCCGATTTACGGGCTGCCTTGGTGGCCAACTGCTTCCTGGGAGCTTTTCCTCCGGTGGATTTACGGGCTGTCTGCTTGGTACGGGCCATTTCTGTGAATAAGAAAAATTGTTTAATAATTTGTTTAACAATAATATAATGAACAATTTGGATAAAAAATAATACCGATATAAAATAAATAAAAAGAAAAAAAAGTTTGAAACACGAGTTGACTATGGCACGTGTACGGAAGTCGCAACAGCACTAAGGTGTGTACCGAGTAAAATTTGTTTCACGGAGAACGACGCACCATTAGGCACTACTACACGGACAGTGCGCGAAACAACGTCTCTAAATTACAAAAGTATTGAAAGGCACAAGTGAGCGAATAAGTCGAAAAGCCAAGCAGAACGAGAGAGAAAGAGAATAAAAAGGCGCGATATCCCCCACTCCGCCGACTCACGTCGATGGGTTTCGTTGTTGCTAGTTTACAAATTTAGTCAAAGTACCACTCGCGTATATAAACAAAAATAAAATAAACAAAGTTTACAATTGCGCGCCAAATATCGATCGCCGTATACACACACATAGCCTCTTACCTATTTACCGCAAGTGCGAAAAAAGCTAGCGACTCTTTGATGATATTTCCGCGTTCGACGGTCTCTCTCTCTCGCTATAATAACAATGACGATAGTATTGGCTCTCTCTCTCTCTCTCTCTCAACGTTGATCTCGATCGAAGCGCGAGTTTCTCGCCCAAGCACCACTACCACTACGGCGAATACAGAGACGCAGAGCCGTGAATAACGACGATAAAGTTGCATTAAAGGCATATACGTACATAGAGGGGGAGTGGGCGCGAAAGGCGCATACACACGAACATTAGATGGCTTTCCCTGCTGTACCGCGAGAGAGAACGAGAGAGAGAGAGAGAGAGAACAACAACGACATCGAAAAGGAAGCGTCGCCGCGCAGCAGCACAACGCGAACAACAACGAAAATGGCGGCCGCACCGAGAGAGAGAGAGAGACGCGCGCGCTCGACGAGAGACAGCAGAGCATTTCCGAGGTACGCCAGAGAGTCTGGCGAGATTCTTGAACGCGAAGGAGAGACAAAGTATCGAGTCGCCCTTTCACCCGCGGTTGATGTCGACGCGTAGTAGAAGATTTTTCAGAATAAACGGAAGCGCCCGAGAGAACATTCAAGAAGAAAACGAGAATCCGTGACTTACCTTCTGTTTGCTGTTTGAAAAAGACTGAAAAGTCGGTTCTGTGCGAGCACTAATTGACACTGGGTACTGCGTGTGAAGTACGACGGTTGTAGTGGGCTAGGCGCTCGGCTGTAGCGGAGAGACACGTGCAACTGCTGCAGACGATGGAACTCAACTGACGCTCGGTCGCTCTGTCAAGCAATGATGTTGGTGCTGCGAGGAGAGCGAGCCGCGCGAGCCGCTACACTTGGCGGCGGCGGCGGCGGTGTCGGCGGCGAGAAAAGGAGGAAGAGTGGGGAGGATCGCATAGGGAGTACAGGGAGAGAAAAAAAGATGGAAATATGCGACTGTCCTCGTCGTTGGAGCTGGTAAAGAGAGGGGGGGAGGGGGATAGAGTGGGGGCAGCGACAGACTGTAGCGACTCTCGCAGCTGGTGTTAGGTGTATATCGAGAATCACCAAGACCCCGAGCGCCGCTCAGCTCCGTGTTGTACAACAGCACATTTCGTCTGTTTATTTACAAAATCAAAATTCGAGCGCGGCGAAACGTTCTCTTCTCTGTTACTGCTGCTGCTGCTGCTGCGCACGCAGCCATAATATATAAGACCCGAAGAAGCTCGAAGCTTTTTTGACAATCTCGCGAGCGTGTGGTACGTTCGGAAATTCGTTTTATTTCGTTACAGGACTTTTTCAGTTATTTAACGATGAAGGGATGGTATATGTTTACATGCTAGGGTAGCCAATGAAATGCATGCTATCGTTTCTTAGCTGCTAGTTTAGCAAAATCAGGTGGAACTGGAAGCAGAAATGCGACAATGAGACTTTTGCTTAACCGTCGCTTGAAAACAATTTGATGCAGATGTTTATTCGTAGTTTCAGGATGAAAATTACAATTATTTTCGGTACTTGTGAGCTCTCGACGAGCGCGATGCCCAACCCGACCCTAAATAGACAAATTTTGATCTTTTTGCAACAACAATGATGTTTGATCTGATCCTCTCGAGTCATCGAGTCAGCCAAGATGACCGGAAATCCTTCGTTTTCGTAACCTCAACAACAAAAAATTAATCACCATCGTCCACGTGATTTTCATAGCTGTATACATTCAGCGTTCTCTACGTTGGTTCTCGAGTCGAGCGAGGATTTTGGCCATGGAAAATTGACAATAAACACAAGCACAAAAAGATTTTGACAAAACGACCTTGATTTATTAATCGATTGTAATTTGTTTATAATCTCTAAATTTCAAGTATTTAATTTATCTCTATCGACGCTTATAAAGTAAATATACCTACGTAGATTGGAAAGCCACGATTTTTACGTACAATTGATGACAATTCGTTAATTGTAACACTATTTCGTACACAATTTTATTTATAATAATAATAATATACAATGATAGTTACAATAATAACTACGAGTAATTCGCAAACCATTTTCAGAAGCTTATTTGTATACAATTAATTAATAATATTTTTCTTCGTGTAAATTCGTTCTACGAATCCTTGTGTATTGCCTTACAAGAGATGAAAATTCATTCACGAAACACGTATACGTATAATAATAATTGTTTTGTAATTTCAATTTTCCCGTAGCGACACACAACAACTCGACATATACACACACAAGTATACACACAATGACAATTTTTCCTAGTTACTATTTCAAGAGCAATAAAAATTATAATTTTTATATCATTAAAAAAGTAGGGTACTTCTTTTGTATTGTTGCCTTGATAAGCATAGGTTAACCCATCAACATTATTTTTACTTCATTATAAATCGCTCATTTGTACTAGTTTTCAGCATAACGTTTTTTTTATCGATGATTGGCACGCTTTAGTTTAAAAATGCACATTACTATTTTGTTCAAAGTTACATGGGACTCGTTTATTAACGAGTCCCTAAGAATTTGTTTTTCTATTATACAGCAAAATTTGTACTCTCTCGCTGTATATCACAGCTTTACATACGATATTAGTTTTGTCAATTGCGAAAAATATAATTGCTTACATTATTTTCAGCTAATAATGCGATCGTCAAGTTTCTATAAATAGATACTAAAAACGTCCAGTTTTTACATTGTTCGTATACATTTTACAATTAAATTCGTTCGTCGATATTCATTTTTCCGATCAATTTCCACATTTTCATTGCGCTAGTTTACGTTTTAGCCACGTGTTTTGTACTTGGGGCGTAATTCATCAGTCTATTGTAGCAGCAGTCGTTTGACTTTTTTTTGTCTCTTTCGATTTTCACGAGTTCTTTGTTTACAAGCGCAAGTTCGTCAACATTCATTTATAAGATTCAAGCGTGTAAATGTATGGGGTTCTCGAAATTTGCTTGATTATACATAGATACATTCAGGGCAAAAGCACATTTTGGATAATTATTGATTTTTACACCTCTGGGGTTCGAAAAACTTTTGATTTTCATTTCACACGTAGTTTATAACGTACTTGCGGAATTGGGTATGAAAGATTTAAAATATTATGATCCACGCAGTCATTGTCGCAGTGAGCTTTACCACTTTATATGCAATAAGAAAGAGGCACCTACTTGAGTTTGCCAAAAATTCCATAATATGCACTTATAAAATATATTCTCTCCGTCGTACTGCACTCTCTATTCAAAATACATCGTTAACAATAGGTTTTTATTTCAACTTTTCAAAATTGTTCAGTCCAGTATAGCTTTGTTCTTTCGCCGACACGAATAAATACAGATATTTACATCAGGATTTCTCAGTTCTAGGAAGACTCGCGAGTAAAAAAACTCCAAGCAGACAAAGAGTTTGAGATGTTTTTTACGATCGCACTTGCTATATAGCGATTGATCATGCCGTTTCTTTTTTAGAATAACAACATTTTCGTTAGAAATTCAAAAGCTCTGAGGGTATCATGTACTTGTTTTTCGTTTGATACCCCAATCCTTGCGTTTTTGTTTTATAGTATTTATGAAAATATTTAGGCTATTTCGTTCAATGAATGGCACTCTCTTGACTCAAGAGTTAAGCGCATCGCAACACTCCCAATTCTTTTGTCAACGTGCATCATAGCGTAATCATTTTGAATCGTTTACCTGTAAAAATTCAATTCAAGATTTATAAATGAATTTATGAGGTGTATTCCCTTTTTTTATTGAAAAATTAGTAACAAACTTTAAAAGCTCATTTTACTCTATTGCAGTTGTTTGTTTACTACGTTCATTTCGGATACAATTTTTGCTTCCATGTATAAAATATTTATTATTTTGCTTTAAAAAAATTGGACCTGAATCTAAGGTTTTAATTCATTAATGTTATTGTGTATCGATTGTTTAGGAAGATACTGGTCATAAAATGTCAATAAATTTAATTATTTTTATTGTATTATAGACTGTCAATGGTAAAAAATTCATTGATGTAGAGACATTTGTAGTCCAATCGGTATCTTTTATCATGTACAATAAGTCAAAAATATATTACTTTATTCTTATAAGTGATTTGTATATTTTTGCCATCATTGACCAGTTTTGTAATCCTAGATTGTCCTGTATTATTAGTTTTCAACGTTCATTTTAAATATTGCCATGAATATTCATTCAAGTATGAGTCAGTTTTTACTCGCACATCATTTAGAAAAATAGGATAAGTGTTACGCTTCTGTTTGTACGAAATACAGCAAGTGATACAAAGGTTTTTCTTGCAGACATAATTTTTTGGATCATTTTAAACATTTATTGATCAAAATAGTTATTGTTTAACATTATCTTTTCATTTTCCTATTAACCTATTAAAAATTGTTAATTACTCATTGTGTTCATACACCTTTTTATTTTTTTGACATACTTGATTAAATGCATCAAGCCTAAAGACTCATAAAAGTTTATAATTTTTACAATTTGATCAAACTATAAAAAAGTGGAAAAAATTCCTTGCATAGATTTTAAATCATGTTCGAACCCTTTAAACAATAACGTTTTAAGTAACCATGGGTCGGATATCAGTTAGAATTTTTGGTTGTGAAGTCCATTTAGAGATCTTACAAATAATCTGATAAAAATACATTGTCTGCAATGTAAAATTTGTTCAAACTTAGATAATTTATATCGATATTTAATTTTAATAATTAATTAGAGATTTATTAAAATGAATTTAAAAATTTAAATAAAAATTATCTAAATTTCAATTCTTATTTGACAATTACAATTACATAGTTATAAATAATTAGAACTATACTAGAATTTCTATGTTACTTCATCTTTTTGAACATATTGATACATTTTTTCCAATATACATTAAAAACTGTTATGTATAAACATTCTATTCTTTTTGGCCTCATGTTTGATACAAGAATAATAGTGATGATGTAAAAATGAGTTTATAAACTTAAAGACATAGACAAATATTTAACATTGTATAGTTGAACCTGCAGGAACAGTGCAAGCTAAAAAGATCAAGCTTTCATGAAACAATTTTTTTTATGAAACTTCAATACCAAAAAATTAATTCTAATATCTAAGTTCAATAAGTAAAACCAGACTCTGAAGTATTGTAATTCTCAAATTCTTTTATACTTGTAATTTATACGGTACCACACATATTTTGAAACTTTTTTTATATAAAATATATTATTTAAATAATAAAGTCTTAAAAAATTGGGCACTGTTAACATTTTTATAGTCTTTTCATAAGTGCAAAGTGACAATTTGATAGCATTCTACTTACATTATACATTGAAATGTTTTATATATTGAAAAATTTTCTATAACATCAATTCATACCCCATTTAAATAACTAGCAAGTTATTGAATTAATAAAATATTATAGTCATTAAATTATATTAAAATACAATTAGAAATTAAATAAAAATAATAGACAATTTGCATGATCTTGAAAACGTTAAGCCATAAATAACATATTTGTTTTGTGATAAAATATTTAATCTAACAATGTGTTGCATTTGATAAAATTAAAAACCGTAGAGTTAGTACCTAATGTAATAACTTTGATTTAAATGACTATAGTTGCTAACAAAAAATTTGCTTAAAAGTTTGAAGCAAAACATTTGTAGAAGAATATAAAAAGCGAACATTAATTGATTAGACATGTCAGCTTGTCTTTTTTTATTGTCGTAAATCTATCATTTGCTCAATAATTTCGAGTTATTAGAAGTAATAAAATCTCTTCCGCTTAATTTGAGTACATGTTTTACAAGAATATGTTTAAAAAAATGATCATTGGTAAATTAAAATGTTAACTGATAATCAGCCAACTCCATAGTTGATTAAATATCATTACCTCATCATAATATTATATATTAAGATATCATATAAAGTAATCATAGTTGAATCAAAATTAAGTTCCTATGATTTTTTTTTATTCTAGTAACCAGTGAAGACATTTATATAGGAAACTTTTTAGATAAAATTGTGCAAGTGTACTGCTGGAAAAAGTATAACTTTCACAATTTTGAATATCAATGTTAATTTTCTCAATTTCTAATGAATCAATCTCTTTTATTTAAATTGAAAAACCTGCATTTACTTTACTTTGGTAAACATTTTTTTTCTGAAATTCATAGTTAGACAAACTATAATTTGATTATGTTCAATGAATCATTCCCATATGTACAAATAAATAAATTTCCTTCATAATCTATAATTTACAATTTTATTTAAATCTAAATGCACTGAAATTAAAATTCTACAGAGAAGAATTTAAAGTTATTTATTGTAACTTATACTAGGATAAAAATGAATATAAAAATAGAGTGAACTCCTGATGTAATTTTGTACTTGAATTTGTAGAACGATTTTTAAATTAATCATTATCTATTACAATTTTCGTAAAACTTTAGATTATGTTGGAAGAACATACTAATCAAGTCTTTTAGAATACTTTTTCCTCTTTGTATAGTGAGTTGAGCCAAATATATAAAATGTGGCATAAAGTAGGCGGAGAAATCGATAAATTCCGATTGACCGTTAAATTCATCAACACAAACGATCACAATACATACACAGTATGAACGATACGAATACGTCAAACTGTTGCCAAAACGGTTAAAAAGTTACGAAATGAATAATACTACCAGTATTAATTAAAATTCTAATTACCTCATAGAACAAGGTACAATTAAAAAATCCTATTTATTTACAAATACAATAATTTTTAACGGTATACTAAAAATATTTCCATCAAAACTAAAGCTACTATGTTTTGCAGTCTACGTAAATAATTTGATATAGTAAAAAAGTACGGCTTAACGTTTTCAATAGCTCAATTGATTGATTTTTTTCATCAGTTTAATTAGAACAAGTCGACTATTTTTTTTAAGTCTATCAATGGAATAAAACAAAATCGAAGTTCTGAAGTTTTTTTAAGCATATTGTAAAAATCAAGATTTAGAATTAAAATAATTTTAAGTAAAATCTACCGACAAATTATGAGAGACTAACTGGTCGAAACAACTGGTGTTTGGCAGTAAGGACATTCTCGTTGATTAGGTGCGCAAGTAGAACAGACAACATAATGATTGCAGGGTGACAGCGTAACAGCACGATTTTGCTCTTCACATACCATACATTTTGTTGCGGTTTCTCTATATAGTACCTATAATGATGGTAACAATAAAGATATAATGGTCATCAACAAGAAATTATGTTAATTGAGTCATTGCATTATCTTACATTTTCTATTTCTTCAAGGTCAGATCTTAATTGAGCTTGCATTGATTTTAGAGCTGTGATTGACAATGTTTTAAGATCGCTGGTTCTTCCTAGTGTACTTAAATAAGGTCCACCCCCATTCGTAGCTTCTTTTTCAGCTTTGAGAGTCTTTAACTGCATAAGAGCCTCATCTCTTTGCTGTTCAGCCATGACGGCTTTTCTTTTGGACTCCTCGCATTCTATTTGCCATGCGGAGCAAGCAGCTTGTGCCTGATTAATTCTTTCGTCCCAGGAAGCTAATTGAGCACGACTGGACGACAATTCCTCCCTCAGTCTCTGTAACTGTAACTTGATATTGAATGTATATTTGGATGATTCAATGGTTTAGAAAAAAATTTGAAAAAGTCACGCCCGTACTTCCGATAGTGAACCGGTCGCGTTACTGTTGCTTGGGCTCATCGAAAAGGCACCGACTAAGGGCGATGCTGCCAATGGTTGTGTGCGAGACGACGGGGACATGCCTTGATTATTGAAATCAAAGAGACTGTTGTTGAATCCTCCTAGTTTAGACGCTGAGCCAGCTGATTGAGAGACGTGATTATTGAATGTGTCAGTTACGTGATTCATATAAGATGACATGGACTAGAATATAAAAAGACACGATAAAGATAAGTAATAACTGTAAACGCCAAATTCTTTAACCAGTCGTAGTGGTAAAATTACAGTTTCTAGTGAGTCTTGATACGAGAATCGCGAACCCGCGGTGAGAAAACTGCTGGCAGCCGAGTGAAGAGGTTGGAGAGGACTCGAGGCAGACGGCGAGAAGTTCGAGAGCACCGAGCGCTCTGCCATTCCTGGAATGTTGACTGGAGCAGAGCTGCTCAATAGACCGGAACTGGCCAAACCAGCCGAAATGGAATTTGCTATCGGGGAATTGGCATCCCTGTGCAGCGAATCGACCAATCCCAGAGGATCGTCTAAATGCAAGTCATCCAACGCGTTACCTGCAGAAAAAAAATTAAAAATATGGTTAAAAATTCGAAAATTGAAATGAGAAAAGAATAACATCAACGAAATACGCACCAACAACCGATTCAACGGTATCATTGGGATAGAAAGAGTTAGATAGCGGAGAAGAAACAGACGATCTCAGAGTGGTGAGAGGGTTGATGTTGTAAGCGAGACAGATATTTTGCTTTTTCTGAGCTTTCTCTGCTTTGGTGAGCAGAGGATCGTTTTCGATCGCCATGAGTTGTTTGCGAATGTCGCACTGCTTTCGAATATCGAAGAAATCCGCCTGACCAAAGAAAGAAGATTGTAAATAATCTCAATCGATGAAAAATTTAAGACAGGTCGGTATAAAGTACTCACGGCACTGGACAGAGCATTGTTAAAGAGCACCCCGGCGGCACTGTTTGAGCCCACGAGTTTCGACTGGGAGTTGGAATTGTTGTGATGCAGCTGCGAGCCCGGCGCCTTGCTCTGCGAGCCGTTGCTGCCGAGGCTGCAGATGCTCGCCGACTCGGACAAGTCGCTGCTGCCGTTCTGCAATGGAGCCAACTAATGACAAAATATTAATTATAAAGGATACTCGCGAGGCTTGGGACTTGGCCGATTGGCGATACAAGAATAATAATGGCTAAGGACTTGGTCATTTATCCTAACACTTACGCTGCCGTCCTTGTCCTTGTTGGGATCGTTGTTGGAGCGCTTGTTGGCGCTGTTGCCGCCGGCGTCGTTGGCACCGGGCAGGGCGCCGCTCAGCAGATCCGCCAGATTGCTGGTGCACTCGAGGGTCTGCGAGTTGGGCAGGGAGCCGACCAGGTCGCGGCCGCTGGCCAACGCCAGGCTGTCCTCGGCGGGCATCACGGGGTCGACGTGGGCGAAGGCGCAGAACACGCCGCGCGGGCAGTAGCCCGCCTGCTGCACGTCGTTGCACTTGGTCGACTTGTAGATCTCCGGATGGAACTGCTGCTCGGTACGAGTGTGACAGTAGACGCAGTTGTCGCCCTGCTCGCAGTTGGACGGCTCGCCCCATTCCTCGCCGTGCTTGACGTTGGGGCAGGGCGTCGAGCGATACTTGTACTTGCGCGGGCTGCGCCGCTTGTCCTTGCCGTTGTGGTACTGGGGACAGGCGTAGCCCTGCCTGCACAGACGGGGCGGTCGCTTGCACGGCTCGGTCTTGTAATTGCTCAGCACGTAGGTGGTGTCCTGCCACTTGGGGTCCTCGTTCATGAGGTTGCGCTCCTTGTCGAGGACGTTGGGTCCGTTGCCGGATCCGTTGCCCTCGAGGTCCGGATTCTCGATGGCCTGGAGCTCCTTGAGATCGTAGACCGGTGGTCGCAGATCGTGATTGCCGTGGGCGAAGGCACAGTGGGGCCCGTTCTTGACGCAGAAGCCACGGGCGTCGGTGTCGTGCACGCACATGCACGTTTTGTAGTAGCGCAGGTGATAGCGACGCTCGGTGTCGCCCGCCGTCCTATGTAGATTTGGACATCTGCGAGGAAAGAAAGTCGAGGATGAGAATTACTCTTTTTAATTGGTGCCTCGAAATCTACTTTGCTATTGCATCAGAGTCTCTCTCAACGGATGTAACGAATGCAAGCACGTGTGCGCCGCTTCTGACTCGTATACGTATTATCGCGTATTAGCGGGCGGCTGGTTCGCGGCTCGATAGACAATAATACCAGAATTAACCGGTTCGAAGTGACTTTTTTTGTGTGTGTGGGGTACTCACTCGTCGCCATCCGGACATATCCCCAGAGTCTCGTCGTACTTGGTGCAGTAATTGTCCGCGCTGTAGTTGAAGGTCCTGTCGCGCTTTCGCGTGGGTCGGCGTCTGCGCTGATTCATGAAGTGCCAATTGAAGCAGGTGAAGGGCCGGTGCTGGGTGCACTTGCGCTGAATGAACAGCGGGCACTGCTCGACCCTGAACTCTTTCAGGTACTTGGTGTGCGAGTCGACGTTGTTGCTGCTGCTGCCGCCGCTGCCACCTCCGCTGTTATTGGCCATGTTGTTGGCCTGGTTGGACGCGTTGTTCGCCTGCTGCTGCTGCTGTTGTTGTTGTTGTTGTTGTTGTTGCTGCTGCTGCTGCTGTTGATGGGCCACAACGGCGGCGGCGCTCGGACCGCTGCTGCTCTGGCTCTTACTCCGTTCTCTCATGAGGTCTGCGTCCTTGTGGTCGTCGTCGTCGTCGTCGTCGTCGCCGTTGCTGCTATACTTGACACTATACTTATACTAGATGTTTTGCTTCTCTCACTTCGGTTTCTCGCACACGACTGATGCCTGTATAGAAGTTTTGTATTAGAATACACACAAGAAGGTGCGATGGCTGCGCCCGCGGAGGAGATATCGGATATCGTTTCTTTAATGTGCGTGCGTGCGTGCGTGCGTGAGTACGTGATGTATAATACGCACCACTAGAAAGAGAGAGAGAGAGAGAGAGAGAGATCTTCTATGACTTCTTGCCTCTGCTCGCTGTATTAGACAGATTATGTACACGGGCGTATCGTCGTCGTTGTCGTGCGCCAGGTGCCCCGCGAGCCAAGCTCCAAACTCCAAATAAAAATATATATATATCTATGTCTATATCTTTCAGGAAGTGTCCTGATTGTTGCTGCTGCTGCCTATACTACTACTGCTGTTGCTGCTGCTGCTGCGAAATTTTATAACCTCGAAACACGCTTGCATCGCTGGCACAAACGCACGCACCACACTCGCTGCTGCTGCTACTATCTCGCTGCTATCTATATTTGCTGTACTCATGTATATACCAATTATATACATGTATGTGTCTGTGCCACTGCAGGCCCGTTAACAGACAGTAGTATCGTCGTGGCCAAGCAGAAAACGGGTACAATGAAAAAGTTGACTCTACTTATGCTCGTAATAACATCGCTGTGCTTTATATCGATACATTGTAATATCAGGTAGTAAAGGTTTGCGTCTGTGCGTGGCGTTGTTGCTATTTCGCACTCGTCACTGTACTGCTCTCGAGTCTCGACTATATTATACTCGAGGGGAACACTCGACGCTCGCGCCGAGATGGTATACACTCCTCACCGCGAAACTCGACTCTCGATCGGAGCTCTTGTCGCACACGTCAATTTCTCTCCTCGCGCACTCTTTTTTACTTATAAAATACGGCACTGGGGATTCATTTGTATGAATATAGGCACTGTGATTTACTCCACTGCTGCCTCGCAGTCGCGAACTGCGTGCTAATATTCCGATGTGTGTGTGTGTGTGTGTGTATGTGGTGTGATTGATAGCCTGCGCCTGCAGCAACCCGCGCTAAGTTGTGTACTAACTACTGCTGCTCGATCGCAGTCGCTGATCTTTTTTTGGGCTTTTTCTTTGTCCACGCATATCCTCTATATAACTCCAGTTCTCTCAAGCCTTGTGTGCATGTGTGTGTATTATGCTGTGTAATATATGGCAAACTAATGTATTTCGCGGCGCGCTCTCACTCCGCGCGAGCGTCACGTCTCTTTCTCTCTCGCTTGTACTCGCTCCTTTCGAGACTTTTTTCAGACTCTATTACACGCACATATAGGATATATAGGTAGGTAGGTAGGGTGTGTGACTAGTATAGCGTATGTATGTTGCGCGAGCGTCGCGAGAGTGGAGCGCGCAACAGTAAATGGCAAAAAGTCCGTAAGAGTTGTATATAGGTATTAAGGTAGGCAGCGCTGCATAGGCAGATAGTGGGCGCAATGACTCGACCGGTAAAGTTACTCGCGCGCGATTCCACGACTCACTTTATGTACTGTGCACTCGCGGTGCACTGTGCGATGTGCGTACCAAGCCGATCGGCTGCCTATATCCATGACCGATGACCCGAAGATTTTATACGACGAATCGCGATCGACTCCGAAATTAGCGAATTTGCTATTCGCGGTAGTTTACTCGGTTATCGCGAGAAGAAAAGAAACATATATCGGAAATATAATGTGCATTTTCTGCTCTCGAGTGTCTTATATCTACCACGGCAATTACGAGTTATGCGGGGCCGTAGGTTACCGTCCGTTACTGCCATCTCGCGGACTACAACTATCGTATTTAAAGAATTCGCCAATCTGGTCACTGGCACAACAGTTCGCGAAATTAGCAGCGAGCGATACACCGCTTAGTTTATCTAATCGAAATTTCGTCGATGATGAAAAAGCTAATTATTTTCTACTCGATATAATTACTACATGGTGTCGATTATCACGAGCTCTAATGACTCGAACGCATATGGCCGAGCATTCGAGAGAATTCGAATCGTTGGAGGCTGTGTGCCTTGAGCCGCGCGATCTTATCCTCTTCCACTTTGCATTTTTCTGTATACAACGTACTCCGAAAACTTAGATTCATTGATTTGATGTTATCGCGGTGTATCTTGGTAAATCGGTAAATGTGTCAAATACAAGCTTTTTTATAAAAAAAACACTTCGGAAATGGGCTCGCAAGCTTTTAATTAAACTTAGCTCCCTGTTTTAAAAAAAAATTTGTTCAATCGAAATATTTATGAAAAATAATTATTCATGACTTAGTGTAGCTCTCCTTACATAGGTTAGCCAAAAATTCGATACGACGATTTGTAAGTATATTATTGAATTAAATTTAGCTTAATGATTTGAAATTATTACCCAAACAATCAATCGCCAACGAGATTTTGAGCGGGTAATGTAATTAATTTTTATTCTACGAGAATTTTCAATTACGAAATTATTATGGTAAAATACTTAATCTAAAGTATTCGATTCTTCGCAGATTATTCGCAGTAAGAATTTATGTAGTAAACATATATGACTCGATATTTCATTACAGACGCTTGAAGAATGTAGGATACATCATAAAAATGAGCTTGACGATGTGCAAATTGACTTTGAGTGCAGAGACGCGTATACTTATATACATACTCTCAAAATCCTAGCCACTTGCGGGAACTAACGCCCGCAAAGCGACCTCTAGCGGCATATCGTCACACGATACATGCAAGCTGATTTTTAGACGAAAAGATAATTTTAAAATTCACATCGATTCGGTGAAGCGATACATGACCATTATGTATGCATCGGCTGTATACCTGGTGGCATTCGAGGTGGATTGTGAGTTACGCCAATGCATAACTTTTTTCGTCATTTTCAATTACTCATTGCATCATTCAAACAATGACAGAGTTCGCGTGCGTTGAAAATCACTACATTTTTCTAAATAAGTAAATAAACATTTTTAAAACAATTCCTCAAACTCGGGCTGTTCCATTGCATAATGCATTAGAAGAAGAAACTTGCTAGACTCGCAAAGTAATATAGTTTTGAAAAATTATTTAGATTCATCGCATATTTTAAACATGGATATTCAAGTCGACGTTGAAGCATTTTACAATTGGATAGATGAAACTCAAATGTTTCAAAAAAACATAACAAATGTATCGAGTGAGTTTAGATTTTATACTAGCCTCGATAAATTTTCAATTCTGTGCTTTGAAACTTCTGTAAAAGATTTTGTTAGAAGGTCCTATGGTATCCTTCAATTTTGTGTTCTCTTGGTTGTTATAGAGTTTATTAAAAAAATATTCCCGGAAAATATCGAAACATACAATTAAAAATTTGATTTCTATGTCCAGATATGATTAGATACTGATTAAATACCAATTGGGCTAAAAACTATTGAAAATTAATTCCTTCTTCAAAATTTTCCTAAAACCCAAAATTTGGAAAACTTAAAGACATCGCAATTTGTTTGATAGGCTTCACGAAAGGCTGCAAGGATTGGCTAATTCAATAAAATTTGTGGCGCTTCTAGGCATCTCATGTGTTCTCGTTACAAGCGGCTCTTCGGTAATTGTCCAAGATATTGTTGAATTATTTTGAAATTTTTTCAAACTCTGATGATAGTGCGACTTTTAATTTTATAAGTAGTTAAATTTCTTCAAATATTTAAATCAAGTACGGGTGTGTGGGTACCTGAAAAGCGAACGTTTAGTTTTGGTTTAGTGTCACCCGTACGTCAAATTGATATCATTAACCGACGAATTTGCGAATCAATAACAATTTTTTTACTGTTATAATACATTAAATTTTGAGTTTACATTCGCCAACAAATTTTGAGCCCATAAGGGTGTAAGGAGTTTTGTTGAATTAATTGTTTATTCTACCATTCGTTCTAAGTTGAATTTTATCGAGGTATAGTTTTTAACGATTTTTATATGTCTCGATAATTTAGGCAGTAATGTCAATTAATACTAACTTTCCACTGGCTGAAAAAATGATGTTCGTTTATTGGACTGAAATATTAATAATTACAGCAATGTGTACTCCAAGTCAAATTCTATATAATGCCAGCTTCAACATGTTTAATGAAAGGTAAAATTTTTGTTGGAAATTTAAAATGCTCAAAATAAATAACCCACATATGTTAATGAACTATCCCGAAGTTATTGCATCAATTGGTATAAATATTCACCAAAAGCGAGACTTTTTATGGTAATGCTTTTAATAAGGACACAGAAAAATTTACTAATACAAGCTGGGAACTTTGTCGATTTGAATTTTGAAACTTGCAGTCCAGTAAGATGTTCATTTTATTAGAATCAAATAATTTTCGGCCACATACACTCTCATTTTTTACAAAATCACAACTTATAATACAAATTTCATTATAGGTTATAAAAAAATCATTATCTTACATCGCAGCATTCAGATCGCTTTATGCGGCGGTATAACTTTAAAAATTAGGATTAGGATAACTTCCATCATGTGCTTGCTCTTCATCACATTCGGAAAAACAGCTAGACTCTGTCACTTTTTTAAGCATAAATAACGATATATTAAACAATTTGTAGACGGAAGAAGAGGATAACAAAATATAAACTAATACATGAAGAGAAACAAAGTTGCTTTCCGAACATATTTTCGTTATTTTTCCTTCAAATAAATTTTAATTTTTTCTTATAAATCTCTGTGTCTAATAATTACATAAAAATAAAAGCCAAAAACTGAAAAAAGTTTTTTGGTATACCAATTTTTCACTCTTTAAAATCGTTGGAAAATGTACATGTAAATATTTAATAAAAGAACTAAAAAATGTATAGAAGTTGATGCTTTTTTTTACCCTCGATCCAAGTAATAGTCCCATAAAATATATGCATGATATTTGCATGATACTTTTCAACTGTAAATGTCCAAATATTTTCATTTGTTTCCAAGCTCTAATGTGCTTTTTCGAATTTATCAAAAAATTAGAAAAAAATAACTTATTTTTATTATATAACTTTCATTATAATCAAAGTGTATAATTTTGTTTTTGGATTTGATAGAATTAAAGTTCAACTGCGTAGCCTCGGAGATTAACTTGCGTTTAAATTGGATTATAATTTCGTTTAAACGCATCCTCGTCAGATCGATTCTCTGCAAGTGGAGCGTGACAACATATTTCTCAAGCCAAATTCAACGGAAATCCGAATATCGAATAATTTTTCACCCGAACGTCCGGTAAAGCCGTGAAAATTGGAAAATGAAGCAGTTTTTTTTGCTCATATCTCGCGATACAAGCACCATTCGATTCCTTGAATTATATTTCATTGATACCCATGTCGATAAGCATGGAAAGATCGAGGAGTCAATATTGACTCTGCAGATCAGCTGTTTTCTCTCTCTCCCTCTGCGTCTTGATAGCGCACGTGCGAAACGTCAAAAGTACCAAGTTCTCTCGCCAGTATCGATCAGGATTCGCAGCTGATCAGCGCAGATCGACCTTACAGCGCGACCATCAATAGCTCCGTTCGATACATGTAGTTACAAGCGATTGTGCATAAACAACGCGAGTTTTAATATAATATAAGTTAAAAAAATGCCTTCACCCTCGGAGTCGCCTGTACCGCCGCCGCAGCAGCAGCAGCAGCAGCAGCTGCTACCGTCCTCCTGCCTGAACGGTGTGCCGCTGGAGGTCGAGCTCTCGAAGAACCACAAGCTCGCCGAGGCCGACGTGATCTCGGTCAAGAGCTGGTCCGAGAGACGCTACGATCTGCCCTCGCTCGGCGAGTCCGACGCGGCTCTGTTTCTTCACGCCCGCAACTACGACTGCGAGAGGGCCAAGCTGCTGCTGGAGAACTTCTTCGGCATGAGGCGGCGGCTGGGCTGCTTCTTCGGCCAGAGGGATCCGGACTCGTCGCAGCTCAGAACCTTATTCAACACCCTGTGAGTATAACGCAATATACAAGCTGTCTAGTGTTAAAAAAAAAAAAAAATTTAGTTATATCGGAGCGCGAATTCAGGACCGTGTACCCGTTGGAAAAGAAGAGCCATCGGGGCCGCACCGTCGTGCTGGCTCGTCTGCTCGACACCGATCCCCATCGCTACGACTTCCTGATCGCCACCAAGTACCTGTCGATGGTGCTGGACGCGCTGATCCACGAGAACGGCTGCGATCCGGGCGGCTACATATTCCTCTTCGATCTGAGCAACGTCACGCAGCTGCACAGGAACGAGCTCTCGGTGTCGCGGCTACGCAACTTCTTCGCCTACTTCAGGGACTGCTGTCCGGCCAGGTGGCACGGGCTGCACTATCTCGATCTCAAGCCCGGCGAGGACAATCTCTGCAGGAGGAGCAAGAGGCAGTTCGCCGAGGAGCTGTCGATCGAGACGCACTTTCACGAGTTGGCAAGTGTCTACTTGAAGTATTCTCGAGAGCTTGTCATCGAGAAACTCGAGCATTTAACGATTTTTCGTTCATCGGTACAGTTTCACTTGCACCCGACGATCGACAGCATCGCCAGGATCATCCCTCTGGACGCTCTACCGGCCGAGCTGCAGGGCACGAGCGCGCACAGCCTCGCCGAGAGCCATCGGCGCCAGGTGCAGAAGCTCGTCGGCTATCGCGACTGGTTCCTCCACATGGACCAGACCTTCTTCTTCTATCCTTATCGCGGTCACGAGGTCGGCCATATACCACGACAGCGCGCACGATCGTGTAAAATCGATGTCATTTTTATTTTTTTTTTTTTTCTTCTTTTTGCCGCAGCTCTACGTCGAGCCCATGGACACGGACAATCCCGAGTACTATCAGAAACTCGAGCAGGCGAAGCTGATCGCGTTGCAGGGTGCGCTGGACAGCGACGACGTAGCGACCAACGGCCACGGCGAATGATTTGTATTACGTAGTGGCATAGTTCGCGGTGGTATTTTTCCTACCAATACACAAGTTGAAAATTCCTACACGTGCCGATGAGTACGGCACAGTGTTTACGTTGATAGTAGCGGCAGCTAAATCGTGCGATATATGTGATATATCCGGCGTAAATAAGAGGTGTGTTTGTTGTATTACCCGATATCGATCGGCATCAATAAAGGATTAGGATTAAAATGAAAGTCGATGACTACTTTTTTCTTTCTATATTCAAATATCACAATAAACATTTATTCGCATTCATTATATTATGTAGTTACAAAAAATCTGTCTGCGTACGAAAATATAATATAAACTTACGAGCTACTTCGTCTATATCCTAAGGAAAATTATGTACAAAAGGAATGTGTCTTTCTCTCTCTCTCTGCTATCTCGCGATCGTCAGTAGCACTGCGTCTCGTGCTGATTGCACCACTCCGGGGCCAGCGACTCCGACTGCACCCCGCGGCTGTTGAGCCTGGCGATCTGCGCCTGCAGCCTCGGCTCGGCCTCGGCGGTGGCCTGGCTCGGGCCCAGCTTGTCCGGGTCGGCCCACAGCCTCTCCGCCACGGCTGCGGCCCTCGGCCAGACCCTCGCCAGCAGATTGCCCTCGTTCACGTACTCGCCCCACATGCAGGCCTCGCCGCCCAGGACACCGGGTTTCTGCGGTATGCGATTGCGATAGGCGTCGCGCCACGAGTGATACTTGGTCACGCCCCAGAAGCCGTGGTCGAGGTACCAGGCGTCCTTCGTCGAGATCACGAGCCGATAGCCGAGCTCGAGCAGCCGCTCGTTCAGATCCTTGCCGGCCTCGACCCAGGTCTGTACGACGAATCGCCGCTTGTCCAGGTAGCGCTCGATCGTCTCGGGCTGGGTGAGCTGAGAGCTCCAGAGGATGACGCTGTCGTCCTCGTCCTCCTTCGTGTCCTCGTTCAGCATTTCCAGTTGGCGCTTGTGCACCTCCGACCAGATCTTGAGAAAGTCCGCGGGCTCGCGACCCAGGCCCATGCGAGCCATGCCCTGGACCACCTCCGCGGTCGAGTTCCAGCACTTGACGAACAGCTCGTCGCCGCCCAGATGCGCCAGACCGCCGCGACCGAACACGCCCAGCAGCTCCCTGTAGATGCTGCGCAGCACCGAGTAGGTATTGGGATTCACCGGGTTGAGCTGGCCGCAGGGCGGCTGTATGCAGTAGTCGCGCCAGGGCTGCTGATCGACGCAGACGGCCAAGTTGCCGAGGCCCTGACTGGGGCCCCACTGCCAGCCGGCCCCAGCGTGGGAGGGAGAGTCGATCTCGAGGATGACGCGGACCCCCCGAGATCGGGCGTACGTCACGACGGACTCCATGTCGCGGCGGCTGTAGATCTTGTCGGCGTCGTAGGCTCCCCATCTGTGCGTGACAAAACCGCACAGTTTTAGTAAGATATGCTTTACAAGATATATCGAGAAAAATATTTGTATCGATTCGATTGAATAATTAGTTTAGTTTATAGTGTATTTATAATGAGTTGAAACATTTGGTTGATTATGCAAAACATTAAATTCATCGAACTATAATTTTTTTATAAAGATTTACTCAAATACTTGAATCAATAATAGTATATGGTTAAATTAACTGAATATATCATTAATTATGATTATTTAGTAAATTTCATTGAGGAGGCTGTAGCGAAAACGAAAAAAACTTTAGATCGAACAAAAAATTGAAATTGGGATTTCCATGCGAACTTGGGAAATAATGAGATCCAAAATTTTGGCCATTGAACATTCGCTCTTATGGAAATTGACAGTTTTTCGTATTATATCATTCGAAAGCTAATGAACTTTTCGATCACTTATATTAATTTCATTAACTTGTAAAGTGATTTGGATATAGGATCTCATTATTTCCCAAGTTTGCTTGGAAACCCGAAATATTTTTTTACCAAATATCTTGTAATTTTCATAAACTATCATCGCTTAAAATTTCACTTCGATCTGAAGTTTTTTTTTATTTTCGCTGCAGCCTCCTTAATCAAAGGTTGGTCTAAAAAAATTTGTTTTTTTGTTAGTTATCGCAATAAACTCACAAAGACATGAGGGGCACGCTCTTGAGCTCCAGCGGGAAGCTCTGACTGTCGGTCGCGTGCCAGTGCAGCACGTTCATTTTGTTGGCCGCCAGGGCGTCCACGGTCCTCAGCAGACTCTCCAGGGGCAGAAAATTTCGACCCGTGTCCACCAGCAATCCCCTGTGAGCGAAAACGGGCTTGTCCTTGACGTTGGCCTCGTCGAGCATCACCAGCTCGCGGTGGCGGCTACCAAGGCTCGACGTCGAGTCGTCGCCGCCATCGTCCTCGCAATTCGTGGCCGGCCTCGCGGCCACCAACTGCGACAGCGTCTCCAGCGCGTGTCTGGCCCCGTAGACGGTCTGCGCCGTCACGAGCACCGAGACAAGATCGTCGGAGCTGCCGCCGCCGCCCTTGTTGTCGATCTCGAGCTCGTAGCTCTCGTTGGTCCGCCAGTCGAGCCGCATGGCCGACGACTCGACCTTGACGTGGACGCGGATCGATCGTTCGGGTCCCGGGGGAAAGCGACACTCGCGATTCTTCCCACCGGCTTTGCAGTAGGCGCGGATGTTGTCGAGGAACGTGTCGACGGCTACGGACACGAAGTCACGGGCTTCGGGGGACATTTGGTCGTTCACGACGATGAATTGCAGATTGCGCGGGTGAAAGGCAACGTACTGCAAAGAAAAAGAAATTTAGTGCATCGATCGAAACAAAAGTGGCACACAAATGTGTGTATGTGTGTGGAGGGTGCAGGCGAACTCACGTTACTGCCAAGGACGAGCCGACCAGTGGGCAGGGGCCAGAGACCGGCCGTCTTTCCGCAGACGAGTCGGCATGCCTGAAGACTCGCGTGGACGCGGTGCTGCTGCTGCTGCTGTGGCTGGCTGTTGGACGAGGTAGAATCAGCGAGTGATCGCTGCTGCGAGCAGCTGCTCTGCAGGGGCCGAGTCACTCGTTCGCATCTGAGGCCTTGGACGCACTCGTAGCTCGGGTAGGCCGCCGGTGGCGGTTTGCGACTCGAGGGGTTGCCGTTGCCGTTGCTATGAGATGATAATCGATTCGATTGATTCAACGATCTGGGCCGAATTTATTTTACGATACGCTAAACGGGTATATATATACTTACGATCTGAGACGCGCCGACGATGCGGAGTCGAGCACCAGTAACAGGCAGACGTGGACAAGTAGATGCTTCATCGCGCGAGCTTATACAAAAAAAGAGCCTCTGAGTGCGGCTGGCGGCGGAAGCGTCGCTCAAATCTTTGTCCAATCCTAGATACGTGTGTGTAATACCTGTACACAAATTTCGCAGAATGAAGCTTACGTGCGCTCTTTGAATTTGCCAATGCGCAATAAATCATCTTAGTCGTCGTATATAACGATCCGCGCGGCGAAGCGAAAATCGCGTGCCTGCGTATGTACTCGAGCCGATGCACAGGCACACATAATGACGAGAGAGAGAGAGAGAGAGAGAGACGTCTTCGTGAGACTATATAGACGCGATTCGGTCGCGATGAGTCGACGGCTAATGTAAATATATACATCGTTGTGTAGTTTGGCGAAAAAAAAAACGAATTGCAGCATGTATATACAGCGATGAAAACAGTATAGAGCAAGACATGCATATCGATCGTCCACTGTGGCCTTGCCCGCGAATTCGAGCTGTCAATGCCTAGAACAATGAGCGCGTTAAATTATAGGCGGATAATCACGATATTATATATAGCGGAGATTGACTCGATGATAGCGCAATTGACGTGACTTTAATTGGTAAATAAAGAACTAATGATCGAAATGACATCTGTCATACGTACACCTCCATTAATACGTGTAATTTTAACTTATCGTTTTGGAGCGTCTATTGCATATATTACGGCGTATATCGGCCGTAAATAAATACTGCGATCGACAATCAATAGAGAAGTGAAATAGCGCAAATCTTCGCTAATTTTTTACGAAGTTTTAATGATGAAATTAAAGATTAAATTTTTATTCATTTAGTTGTGACTCTGCCGCTGAATGTACGTTTAAATAATTTTTTTTTCTTTTTTTTAGTAAAATTAATGTTTTTGTTTTTCAATGTGACATTTGTAATTGTTGACATTTTTAATTGTTTCATAAACAAAAATTTTGGCAAACAACGGTCGCCACTGTGCGTACCATGCGACGATTCCCCCACGACGCTTCGGGCTCCATACGATTCTTATCACCTTATCGCTGCGCATAATAAACCGAGAGAAAATCGATAAAAAGAGATCCGGCTTCGAATCTCGTGTATATGTACAAACTTCCATAGCGTCAAATTGAGGATTCTGCCTCGTGCACTCGGAGCTCGACGACGGCTAATAAATTCATTTGTCGAAACGAGCATTAATGCAGCCATCGAGTCACTTACAGTCTTTGAACATTTCGGACACACACTCGACTCGAGTATACATTTGAAAGAGCACATATCGCATATATAGGCACAATGATGTAAGCGAGCTCTCTTTAACGAGGGTCCCGCAGTCGTCGCGCGCGCGCAGTCAAAAGATGATCAAAAGATAGCTAGATATATATAGTGGTGCATGTGTGCCGCTGCATCGTCCGAGAGGTTAACGACCCGCAGCACGCGTCGACTTGCGTAGATAGTTTTCGGCGATACGTACACGCCGGTATAGAAAATTTAAAAAAAATAAATAACAATCGCAAACGAGTATAATTCAATAAAGGAACTTACCTTTAGATACAGTCGATGAAAATTTTGATCACCGAAGAAATGCCCAAGCAGATAGTAGCACGTGTTGGTCCCCCTTCCGACAGTCGGTGCGCGTATAAAAGTCAAAAATGAAAACAAAAAAAGTTGCGCTCGCTCGGACAGACGGACGGACGGACGGACGCTCGGTTTTTACGGGTTTACCTCTGACACCAAACGCGAGTATAGATGTTTCACATCAAAATAAAAAAGAAGAAGAAGAAAACAACACTCAAACGACGCGATGATAATTACACTGTCCCGCGAGCGGCCCGAACTGTCGGCCAGTCTCGAGCCTACTGCCTCAACGACATCTTTGCCTCGCCTTTCATATTTATAATGTGTGTAAGTACGTAATGTATAATAGAGCAGCAGCAGCAGCAGTGGCAGCGGCAGCGGTCGCAGGCCAGCTGCAGCGATTCAGCTTATTATTACATGTGTGCGTGTGTGTACTGTGTGTGTGTGTGAGTTCTGCTTTCTGTGCTGGTGGCGGCGTTTACATTATACCGCGTCATGAGCGCGCGACGATCCAAGCACAAGCCATGTCTGTATATATTATATACGCTTGATACCGATAGATAGAGAGAGAGAGAGATGCCGCGCACACGCGTCGCTATATATACCACTCGCGATACTAATAACCGGGCTGCACGCGTCCAATATGGAAATTGGCCAATCCATCTTTTGATACACGCACTTGATCGACGCGAGCCCGCACTCGTGCGCCTCTTTTCATATTATAGATTTTAAAGGCCAAACGAATCGGCCGAGCTCGTGTCTTCATATTTTCACGTTCGAACTTTTAATCCGAGTTTGGATTTTTTATTTAATATAATAATGGCCGCGGTAAAAAATTGATCGCGTCGGCCCCCCAGTTGCAACATTTGTAACGAAACAAAGTGCTCCGTGCAGCGGACTAAATATTTTACAGGCCTCGAGATAATGCATTTATCGGCGCTTGTCGTTTCCATATAGGCGAGCGATAGTGGTATATTGTACGCGTCGTCGAAAGCCCGTTGCCTCTTTTCTTTCCTTCGTTTATACTTACACTTTTTATTATTTACACAGCTATACAATATATATATATGTTTGAGCGTGAACTCGTTGACGGCTTTTTATTATATATATTATATGTGTGTGCGGGCTTCGTATCTGTCATTAAATCATTATATTCCGCTTGGCGTGTTGTTTTTTTCCTCCGTTTGTTTCTCCAGTGTAACTTTCATTTTTGCTGTTTGAATACCGCTTAATAAAGTTTTGTATAGGGGTATTGCGAATTGCGAAAGACACGTCGAATAATTGGATCGAAGTAATTGAGCAAACGACCAAAAGTGCATTGTTTATATATATTATATAGGTCCCGACAGCGACGCGGAGCTCTCGTTGTGGCAGCGCGAGGGAAATTCAACGCCCGGAAAGAGATAACGCGTCTTGTCGCGAATAACGCATAAAAGAAAGAGAGACGACGGTCTCCGCAGCATCGACCTATATTTTTTTGTCTTGCCTCGACTCCGTAACGCGGTAAATAATACAAATGCCCGCGCGTCGAGCGCACGTGCGCGCGTCGAGTAGAGAGGTAATTTGCGGTCGCGGCACACGACGCTCCGCTCGCAAAAATGGTAATGCCGATATATAAAGTCATAATCGACGCGCATCCTCGTGGCGAATTTATAATTGAGAAAAGAAGAAGAAGAGACGCGATTTTTTTTTCGCCTCCGCCGCGGTGCAGATGCGTCCAATTAGATGAAAAAAAAATTGAACGCAGATTTGTCGAATGTATAAAATATATAGCGTACGTGTCCAATATGTAAACGCGCGAGATATGCGGAAGATGACGATGACGGCATGGCTCGACGATGCTGCACATTAGCATTGCATACATGGACAATCGGATTGCGCCTCGGTACGTACGCGCGCGTTGCCGTTTTATCGATTATCGCGCGCGCGAGCGCGATCGTCGCATTTATCATCCGCTATATGCCATACGATCGCGCGCGCGAGAGGAAATTATGCAAGTTACATGCGAGAGATTAAAAATTCGTTCTTTTTTTTTTTTTTTTTTTTTTTTTTTTTGTTACGTATCAATTTTATTGATCAATCTCGAATCTTTGGCTTCGCTGCGCCTAATCTCATTATTCTCCTCTCTTCCTTTTTGGTTTTAATCATACAACATAATTATAATATATATATATTTGTATAATCGCGAATTACAATCGACGAGAGACGTTATACAGATTAGAGAATATATAATTCATCCAACGTTATAGTGCATTTACGCACACGCATGCGCGATTTCGTTCTTTATATTGCTTAATCCACTACTTTTTTATGCGCACCGACTGCGACGCAGCGTAGCGGAGCGGCGGCACGCGATAAATAATTAAATTTATACAGTTTACATAATGTATTCACACGATGCATTGGATAAAAAAATTTTAAAATTAATTCACTTTGGCACATTATTGAACGAACGAAGAACATTGTTACATTACACATAGCGACGCACGCGATGTATTATAATAATATATGTAATGCGATTGTTAGCACACGTAAGACATGAGGGGGGATTATTTACATAGATCAAATGCGTCACGGTCTCGAAACGATTGCGTCTATCACGCTTTCTTCTAATATCAATATTTATGTAATTTATAGGATGATTTACCTTATGTGTTACGAGTGAATGTACCGGCAGGGGAATTTATACAACGGGTCGATTTTTGCAGACTCAAGCTTTATGGCTAATGCAGAAAAATTATCTATCTAAGAATATCGATTAAAGCTATCCGCGTTTTGACTAGTCTCGTGGGATGAAACAATTGTCCATTTATTCAGTTGTAGATTATTTGAAAACTCGATGCACTGGTAATTATTTTTTCGGCCCGTTGAGAGTGACGTCGAGCGGCTGGTCGTCCATTATCGGAGAACTACGCGAGCCAGCGGGTGGGCTCAGATCTTGAGCCTGCAACTGTTGTTGCAGCTGTTGATGATGATGTTGCTGCTGTTGCTGTTGTTGCTGTTGCTGCTGATGATGATGATGATGATGGAGAAGATGATGATGCTGCTGTTGTTGTTGTTGATGATGGTGGTGGTGGTGATGCTGCAAATGATGGTGAGCGGCCAAATGGTGGAAAAGTTGAGAAGAACCCGGTGGCGGTGGGCCAGCAGCAGCCGACAAAGTCATACCACCGGGTGGCTGAATCATAGGCTGGCGCAATATCGGCTGGGCCGTCTGCGTCTGAGACGACGACGACGACGACGACGTCGTCTTCATCGTGAGGTCGATCTCGGCCTCCTGGGGCGGTCGCAGACGCGGAGAGTCGTCGTTGTGGCGCGAGTCGTCGGGCGACGAGGACGACGAGCACGACGACATGGAACCCGGCGACGAGGACGGCGAGCAGCCGCCGCACTTGTTGTTGAGAACGGATGGCGACTTTTCTCGCGATGCCGTGAGCGTCGCTGCGAATCTATACACAATTATAATTTTTCACACCGTCGGTCGTTTATCGTGATTTTTCCTCTTACAAACTTACCCTTGAATCGACGACGCTGAGGACGACGACGAAGGTGGCAGCGGCGCCGCTGGTGCCTGCAGTAGCCGGTAATCTCTGCTCGGCGAATCCTTGCCGATCGTCGGATTATGGGGCGAGAGAGCGGGCTGCGGGGCTGTCGATCCGCTCGTAGTCGTGCTCGGGGAAGACGTCGTTGGGGCTGCTGCTGCTGCTGCTGCTGCTGAAGTCGGTTGAGTAGTCACCGGTGGCGGTGACGTCGACGAGCAGTCCTCGAGTCTGCCGCTGTCCTGCTGCATACCTCCCGGTGGCTGCTGCGGCGGGGGTCGGAGCAGCAGAGGCGCCGCGCTACCCAAGCCGAGGCAGCGCATCCGCCAGGCGTCCTGGAGCAGTTGCAGTCGCGCCTGCTTGCGCCACTTGGCGCGGCGATTTTGGAACCAGACCTGTTGTGCACGATCGAGTATATACTTTATCCTTTGTACGAAAAAAAAAAAAAAAAAAAGAAAAAGAAAGTGGCAGAGCCGATTCGCCTACCTGCACGCGGGCCTCCGACAGCGAGATCCTCATGGCCACTTCCTCGCGCAGGAACACGTCCGGATAGTGGGTCTTTTGGAACAGCGACTCGAGCTCTTGAAGCTGCTGCGGCGTGAACGTCGTTCGATTCCGTCTCTGTGGTCGTGTGTGCGTGTGTGTGTTTTTTTTGCGCCGCGTAAGGACAAAATTGCGAAGGACGATCGATTATACACAAAATTGAATGTCGGGGATTTCATGCTGGGGTAAATAAATCAAAAATTCAAGAACAAAACGTACACTGACCTGACGACGTCGACCGAACATGTACTCGGTCAGCAGATCGGCTTGCGGCCCCAGCGGCGACAAGTAAGGCCCAGCCATCTCGGCTCGAGGTAATGATTCTACGTACGTCACAATTGGCACAATCGAGACTCGACGCGCACTGACTTATCAAGGATCACTGATACTTAGGCCTAAATCGACAGGCTCTGAATCAGGTCTTCACTTAGTAGTCGTCTCCGTATTTGCTGGCGAGTCGTCGACCTTCGAAAGTCACGAGTCGATGAGCGACTGATGATCCCTGCTCTCGACTCAGGGTTAAACTACTTGATGTACGCACTGTCAGCAGCAGCAGTAGCCAACCCCTACCCTACCCTACTCCAGCAGCAGCAGCAGCAGCAACCCTTGCAGAGGGTGACATGCGCCGTCGAGGACTCGAGCTCGATTGGCTGACTCCAAGCCTCGAAGGGCGGAGCTTCTCGTATCAACCCCTTCTATGTAACTGTGTGATCCGCTCGCGCTGCGTTTTCTCTCTCTCTCTCTCTCTCTCTCTCTTACTCTTTTTTAAATACTCGCCTCTGCACACGACGACAACGATTGTGCGCGCAAACTCGACTTGCGCTGCGGTTTGTCGCTATATTTATATATACATAAGCTGTCTTTTACTTTCGCACGCGAAGTAGTACAGTAGCTCGTAGCGAGCGATGATGCCTCTATATGTAGTCTAACGCGTCGATTCATTTTGCCGAATTCAAGCGCGAGACCTTCGCCACTTATGTGCACTGTAGCGGCTTACGAGCTTGCCTTGTATTGCTTAATCATTTTTTTTTCTTTTTCAATCAATCAAGCATACGTCTGCTTTTTCTGGATACTTTTCCATCTTTGAGCAGTGGTCAGGTGTTCAAATGCTTCTAATTGCGGAAACTATTTTTTCCTTTCAGATTGCTATCATTTTGTAATTGTTCATTCTTTTACATATAAAGAGTATCGATCGTGAAGAATATCCAAGACGAGCTATCGACCGCGCTTGCGACCGATCATCGAGCCGGTGCAAAATCGATCATCCAATCAGGGGTAAGCGGCATCGTCAGCCGGCAAAATTTATAATACATATATAAGCTCGCTTGCGCGAGAAAAAAAGCATATCTCTCTTAACGTTGCAACGGAACGAAGCCTCGAAAAAAAAAGAAAAAACGGGAGAAAAAAATTTCATCAGCGCGCCGAGGGACGATGGTAGGCATTTTTCCATGGAAGAGGCTTGTGTAGCTGCCGCCTTGTGCTCTCAACGGAAAAAAAGGGTAAAGAAAAAAAAAAAGAAGAAAGAAAAAAAGGACTGCTACGACGACGACGACGACGACGACAACAGGGAAGAAGAATAAGAAGAAGAAGAAATTTTCTCGCGCCCGAAAGTCCAAAGCAGCTTGAGCGCATAAGCGAAACAAGAAAAGGGTGCGAGAGGGAGAGAGATTATAAAATCCACTATAGTACTGTGTGACTCTAGTATTAGTGCTAGTATAGAGCATCAAGCAGCGGCATCAGCAGCAAGCACAGAGCCCGAGGCCATGTAATTCATTACTAAAGCAATCTTCTCAGCAGCAGCAGCGGCATAGCACACCCTCCTTCCTCCCTACGTGCCTCCCTCTCTCGCTCTCCCTCTTATAATATAAAGAAAAAAAGCAGCAGTAGCAGTGCGCGGGTGAGAGAGAGAGAGAGAGCGAGTCGTACAGAATAGAGAAGAAGAACTAAAAAAAAAGGTAGGATGGGGGGCATGAGGCTAAAAGGGGGTCGGGGGTGTTAAGGGCGCGCGCGCTTTTGCGACAGAGAGGGTAGAGGGAGGGAGAGAGAGGCGAGTATATATATAGTATATATGAGTCATTTCACGTCAAGTCTCCTAGCGCGGCGCCCGCGCGGCATTATTAATCGAAATTGCTCAATTTGTAACTCGCCAGAAAAGTAGCTAAATGCACCCAGAAAAAATATGTGCCATATGATTTTGATAGGAAATTTTCTCAGCTTTACGATGATGAGGTCAGATTTTCCAAAATTTTCCATTTTCCCCGGAAAAACTTGACATAAATTTTCAAACTCAAATTTCTCAAAAACAGCATTTTTAAGATTTTTTTAAATAGTGCCAATCGAAAGCTGAGGAAATTTCCTATCGATATGCAAGTTTTCAGAGAGTACTTTTGATAATTACTCAATGAAATACAGCGACGAACGTGTAAAAACGTGACATTTCGGCCCGTGCGGCAGCTGTTCCCGCGCGCAGTACCCCGCGCGGCGCAAAATCTCACGTTTTTACACGTTCGTCGCTGTCTTTCATTGAGTAATTATCAAAAGTACTCTCTGAAAACTTTCATATCGATAGGAAATTTCCTCAGCTTTCGATTGGCACTATTTAAAAAAATCTTAAAAATGCCGTTTTTGAGAAATTTGAGTTTGAAAGTTTATGTCAAGTTTTTCCGGGGAAAATGGGAAATTTTGGAAAATCTGATCTCATCATCGTAAAGCTGAGAAAATTTCCTATCAAAATCATATGGCACATATTTTTTCTGGGTGCATTTAGGTACTTTTCTGGCGAGTTACAAATTGAACAATTTCGATTAATAATGCCGCGCGGGCGCCGCGCTAGGAGACTTGACTTGAAATGACTCATATGCATAGACGACACAAAACAGCCTTTACAAAGCGCCGTTTTCATAATTAAAAAGATTGCGCCTATTTTTTTTCTCGACTGTCTGTTTCTCTCTCTCTCTCTCTCTCTCTCTCTCTCTTCTCTCTGGCTTCGTCTGTCTGTGTACACGCGCGCTGCCGACTACCACCACCGACCGACTACTGCTACTGCACAAATACACGTACGCGAGTAGTAATATATATTTTTATAAGATGTAGCCCAGGCCGACGAAAGAGAGAGAGAGAGAGAGAGAGAGAGCGTCGAGCTTGCAAAATCAACGCGCGCACCAGTCACTGGCGTAAATTTTCTCTTCCTTTTCTCTCTTTCCTATTTTTGATGCCGCTGTCTAGATTGAATTTTTTTTTTCGAGAGAGAAAATAAAAATATTCGAGACTCGAGTCCGGCAGGGCCGCGAGTCACGCGGCGATGAGTATCGCGTTCGCAGCCGTGCCGCTGCACCGCTGCCCCGTGCAAGTGCATCATCAGCGAGCATTACGACGAGTGCAGGATGCAAAGCATAAACTTTTTTGCTTATATATACTTTTTTAGCAATACGAAGCGAGTGAAATTATACACGAATCGTAATTAGATCGACGATTCCGAGGCTCTGCGCCCAGAGTCCAATCTGTATACAGAAATGTATCGGTGCCATATTCATAGAATATGTGTATATTGCACGAAAACAGAAGCGCCATTGTTACGAGGCTGAAAAGAGAGATTATAATACGTCAGACAAGATATTACATTGCGTAATACGCGCGTGGGTGCAGGACTGACAACGCAGCTACAGCAGAGAGGCTACGCACAACAACAGCGCGCAGATTTGTATAATACGCCCCCTTTCATTAGTTTAGTCTCTCTTTCTCTCTCAAACGAGCTCCCCGCGAAGGGAGCGCGTATAATATGTATAGCGCCGTGCCACGAGAGCCCCGCCTATTCTCTCTCTCTCTCTCTCTCTCTCTGTACATCCTTCGTTTCTTTCCTCTTCCTCTTTTTTTTTTTTTTTTTATTCTTTTATCATTATTATCCACCTATACGAACGTTTCTCCTGTCCTTTCTTTTCGTCTCGCGGTCCATTATATACACATAGGTCCGCGATACGAGAAAATTTTTTCGTTGAAAAAATTGATATTTTAAAATATTCAAAGTGCCCGTGATCAATTGACACTATTCTTTGTCTATATATTCGTATATTATTTCACGCACATCAAAGACGACGTCAATAATAACCCGTATATATAAGCTATTCGACTGTGCGAGTACGAGGCAAAAAAAAAAAAAAAAAAAAAGAAAAGAAAAGAGATCAGATCGGCATATAGAGCTAATAATGGGCGATACGCGAATATGTGCGCCTCCAGCAGCAGTGCAGCTACTACTGCACACAGTTGATAATTAAGCCGATGTGGTATAGAAGCCTATACATATGTAGGTGATGTAGTAGCGAAGCGCAGAGGTCTTTGTAAAAATCGAGACTTTCCAGTCGAACAAAGAAATCGCATGATTCGCACACACACACACACACACACACACACACACACACACACAAGTTCGCAGTACGACAATAGGGAGGGACTCGAGCTGCAGTAGCACATATATACCTCGCTCGCTCGAGTCGAGTCGAGTCTTCAAAGTGCCGCGCGTATTATCATGCGCCTATCATCTACATGGACGCATTAACGGATATGAAACGGCGCGGAAAAATTTCGTCTCTCTCCCTCTCTCTGCACATAGTATCTCTATCGGAAGCTGTTATGCGATTTTTCTCCTTTTCTCTTTCTCAACTCTTGCTCTCTCTCTCTCTCTCTTTCTCTGCGACGACGATGGTCTCTTTTTTTTCTGTACCGCACTGCACACACGTGTGTGTGTAGTTTTTTGATTCGGAGCTCATTGTTTGCGCGGAAAACTTGTCTTCATCCCGGCTGAGAGAGAGAGAGAGAAAGAGAGAGGATGGATATTGGAGTTTTGGACTCGCAGCGCATAAGCAGTAGAGAGCTAATGATTATAGAAGTGGATTGATCCGCTCCACTATATATATATGCGTGCGTACAAGCGTATGCCTGATACGCGCACAAGCACACGAGTAGCAAAACAATAAGATATATAAAGCGAAAGAGAGTAGAAGCAAAAAAAAGAGTGAAAAATCATCGAAGCTGCATACGAGCTAAGCGCGGAAAAAATCTCTCTGCGTTAGCTACTATAGCTCGATTATTATACGCCTACGTACGCATGTGACTTGTATTCTATATTTATGTACGAGCGGCGAAACAATAGCTTTATATAAAAACGTTTCGATTTCGCTCGTGCGCGGCCTCGTTAATTGACTTTTTTTTCTCGCGTGAGCCACCCCCGGGTTCGCTTACTTGATACACACACACACACACGCGCGCGTATACAGCACGAAATATAAAATATAAGCTTTCGCCGGTGCGTTTTTGTTTGCTATACCGACGTTGTCTTTACTACTGTACGGTGCGTGACGACGAGATTGCGGCTTGCGTTATGCACGCCCCGATGAATGAGATTTTTTCATTTCTCTCCTTTTGTGTATAATACGTATAAGCGGCAGCAGCTCGCCTCGACTTTATAATAGTATGCT